TAATAATAATAATAATAATAATAATAATAATGATGATGATGATGATGATGATGATGATGATGATGATGATAGTAATAATGATAGTAATAATAATAGTAATAATAATAATAATAATAATGCTTTCGGTTTATTAATCGCTTTTCCCACAAGTGGGCTCAAAGTGATTTACAGTTACTCTTTAGACGGGACTAACAATGTTTTTAATAGGGGATAGGGAAGACAACATATAATTCATTTAAGTTGCACACGCCGTACTGCCCAGTGGAAACGTTTCTGGCTTGACTCAGTCAAGTTCCAACAGCTGCATCGCCTCACTGCCACCGCCTGGCCGGAGCATCCCACTGCAGGGATTTTCTTAGCTGAGTAGATTCTTCCGCCTTCCGGGTCCAGACCAGGACGTCTCCAACCGAGAGCTAACACCTTCCCAGAAGGGAGTCGGTGTGCCCACTCTCTCTAAGGAGTGGTTCCCATTTTATCTACTCGCCGAGGCTTTCGAATCGCTGGGTGGACGATGAGCTAGGGACGACAGGCTGGCTGCTCACACCAGCGCGGGGCTCGAACTGACACAGTTCGGATGTTAAGACAGTGGGATATACCCACTGTGCCATCTCCTCCATCTTACACTCCTCCCATTCGGACCCAACTCTTCCCTTTTCTATGAAAGTGGGAAGACATTTCAACCGATATCTGGGTCGTTACCATCTTGCGGGTCGGGTACGCCATAGAGTTAGTTTCGCCTCCCGACCTACCTCATTATGTTGTCACTTCTCCGGATCCTCTCCTCAATTCCGAAATTTCTGTGCTTCTAGCCAAAGGCGCCATCGAGGTTGTCCCGGAAGCGCAACGAACCCTAGGGTTTTATTCAAAATATTTCCTTGTACCGAAGAGGGATGGTGGCTTCAGGGCCATTATGGATCTCTGGGATCTCAATCGGTACATTCGATGCCACAAGTTCCGAATGTTCACCATACAATCTATCCTCCCACTGATTCCCCGGGCAGCATGGCTCGCCTCTGTCGAACTCGATCTCGATATGATCGAAAGCGTCTTATTCATCGCCAGTCGCCTTCTTCTTCGGGATCGCCTTCTGATGACCAGTACTGGTCTGATGAACGGGTTAGGGTCAGAGAGCCCTCCACTGCCTCGATGTGCGCAGAGCGCTCTCCTTCTATTTACATAGGACTCAGCCTATACGTAAATCTCCTCGGCTGCTCCTTTCCTATTGGCCCCCTCATGTCGGGGAGCCCATTTCCTCTCAACGCTTGTCCAAGTGGGTGACTTCCACCATAGCCCTTTGCTATGAGCTTGCAGGTCAACCCGTTCCTACCTCTGTCACTGCCCATTCTACACGGGCGGTATCGACATCCACCGCTTTCCTGACTGGTGTCCCGCTGGAGGACATCTGTGCGGCTGCTACATGGTCCTCGGCATTGACTTTCGTGACCCGCTACGCACTCGACGTCCGAGCTCGACGGGATGCTGCATTCGGCCAGTCGGTGCCGCGATCTCTCTTCGCTTGACCCTGCTACGTATCCAGGTAGGACCCGTGGGTGTTTCTTCCCGCTGATGATGCTGTGTCTTAACCAGTATTCTTTGTGTCTCTTGCAGCTGCCAGCTCCCTCCTCCAACTGGTTCAGCTCTTGTAATCACCCGTGTGCGGGACTGCACAGAGACCACGACGAAGATAAGCAGGTTGCTTACCTGTAGCTGATGATCTCCGGGTGGTCATCTGTGCAGTACCACAATCCCACCCAGCCTTCCCCACTGCTGGCATCTCCTATTCACCTTTCTTTGGCTTGATGGGACTTACCGGTAGCGGTCGAAGGAACGGAGTGGGAGGCGGCTCTCTCCCCCGCTCCAGGCATGCGCAGTACGTGCCGGCTCCCCAGGGCGGGAAGAGAGCCTGCCAAAAGCTTTCTGAGGCAAAGCTCTGGAAGTTTCTCCGGTCGAGGTCGTGCGCAGGCGCCCAACCCATGTGTGGGACTGCACAGATGACCACTCGAAGATCATCCGTTACAGGTAAGCAACCTGTTTTTTCTTAGAGTATTGAATTTTGCACCTGTGTTGTGATGGTGAAGCACTCCCAACTCTTTGTACAAGTTCAAAATAAAACTGGGGCATAGGAGTATTTTGTGTGTGTGTGTGTGTATGTGTGTCTGTTTCCAAAAGCTGGCGTTTGGGTGGGTCACGCTTGTTCAGCTCCCTAGCCTCTGGTCTAATGGGCACCTGCCTCTTGGCCACCCAAGCCTTGGGTCGGTGCCCGCCGCTCCTTCTTTGTCTCCTGCTGCTGTGCCAGTCTTTGCTAAAACGCCTCCTAATCCATCAGATGTCCTGACTCTTGGAAGCAGAAATCGCCTGTACAATAGGTCCTGGCTTATTTTGCATGGGCTCAGTGGCTCACTAGAAATGGGTCAAGATGGGGCAGCCTTGTTAATGTGTCCATAGCAGTAGAAAAGAGCAAGAGTCCAGGAGCACCTTAAAGGTAAAGGTTCCCTTGCTCGAAAGCCAGTCGAATCCGACTCTAGGGTTGCGGTGCTCATCTCCGTTTCAAAGCCAAAGAGCCAGCGCTGTCCGAAGACGTTTCCGTGGTCATGTGGCCGGCATGACTAAACACCAAGGCGCACGGAATGCTGTTCCCTTCCCACCGAAGTGGTCCCTATTTATCTACTTGCAGTTTCTTGCTTTCGAACTGCTAGGTTGGCAGGAGCTGGAATGAGAGACGGGAGCTCACTCCGTCATGCGGCACACTCGGGTCTCGAACTGCTGAACTACCGACCTTCCACAGCCTGCAGTTCAGCGTCTTAACCACTTGAGCCACCGCAGCTCCTAAGGAGCACCTTAAAGACTAATAAAAATTTCTGGCAGGGGAGGAGCTTTCGTGTGTCACTGCTCAGTATCTGAAGAAGTGAGCCGTGACCCATGAAAGCTCATTCCCTGCCGCAAATATTTCTAACTTATGGTGCTACTGGACTCTTGCTCTTTTCTACTACTACAAATAGGGGTTTGAACTTCCTTTGAATGCAGCGTTTTAATGTACCTACAGTTTTACTTCAGAGATAACCTCAAATAACTAGAAATAGTCGTCATCTTGACCCTTTTCAGGCAGAAAGACGTGCTTTAAACATAGGCACAGAAAAGACCCAAGGCCGGGTCTGCTGTGTGCCTAGTAAAGAAGCAAGAGAGGTCGTGGCGTTCCATGCTAAAGCCAGCCTTGGCTTCCCTGGAATCCGGATGGCTCTCCGAACAGCTAGCTGTGCATTTGCTAGGGGGGCAGTTTTGTCACATTTAGAGCTTGCTTCAAAATCTGTGTGCTTCACTTTGCTTGCAGGTGACTGGGCTGCTTGTTTTGCGCAGTGTCGAGAAGAACTCTTTCATGCTGGATCAAAATAGCCTCTGAAAGAGCCGCAAAAGTGCCAACGAGTACAATGTTTAACGTATAGAACAGAAGGTGCCGCTCTCCCCCTCAGATCGGAAGGTCCTCCCCCATAATTAAGTGGAAGGGGGGGCTAGTTGTGGCTATGCAGCAGCGAGCCAAAAGCACGTGGAACTCCGGCACTGCAAATGGACAGATGAGTCCCGGGCTGGCTACATTAGAGTCCCAGACCTGGTAGCTTTCCCGCTGCTTCACACTTTGCATCCTTGCGTTTTTAGATTGAACTCCAGGGAGACAAGATGGAGATGACGAGAGAGAAGTATCAGTCAGCCCAGGAGGAGAACAAGCACCTGAGCCTCAAGCTGGAGGAACTGGAAAGGTTAGGGAGTAATCCTGCAAGGCTGGGCTGTGGCAGCAGTTGGGTGCAGGTGAAACACAACAGCCAAGCCTGCGTTGTGGGCAAATGCTTAGCAGCAGCTGGTGTTGTGAATTAGGAACATTGTGGGATTATTGTTGTGAGCATTGTGTGTGTAGGAGGGTGAGCTACAGTGTAGCTTTAGTGGAGTGCAGAAAAGGAACACATTTGTGTGCTCTGTATCGGGATGGAACAATATTGGGGAAAAGCAGATGGGTGTGCAAACGAGAATGAGTGCCTTGCCTGAGGGCACCTAGCGAGTTGGTGGCGGAGAAGAGAATCAAAGTTGGTGGCGGAGAAGAGAATCAAATCGGGCTTTCCTGGTTTCGAGTTCTAATCATAGACCCCTGAAGTTAGGAGGAGCTGTGTAGGACACTTGGTTTAACCTCCCTGCTGGAGGAGATCGAAGGCTAGACATTCCCAACCGAAAGCTCCAGCAAGGTAGAGCCTCTCCCCCTTCTCTGGGGCAATTGGTCCTTTGTTGAAATACTCTTACCATTGGGGAGTTTCTCCCGGTGTTGAGCTGAAATAACAGCAATGAGTTTATTATATGGTCAACAGATCCCTAAGGTACAAAGTGTACCGAACGTATCAGTGATTAAAACCTGACTAGCAGTTGTTTTCCCATCTGGGACCATATCTCAGTGGCTGCATTGAAAATCTTTGCTGCTTTTTCAGTGATCTGTACATTCTCACCAGCAAGAAGGGTAATTAGAGCCAGTTTGGTGTAGTGGTTAAGTGCGCGGACTCTAATCTGGGAGAACCGGGTTTGATTCCCCACTCCTCCACTTGCACCTGGCTGGATGACCTTGGGCAAGCCGTAGCTCTGTCAGAGCTGTTCTTGAAAGAGCAGTTCTTGGGAGAGCTCTCTCAGCCCCACCTACCTCACAGGGTGTAGGGAGGGGAAGGGAAAGGAGATTGTAAGCTGCTCTCTTTCATTCAATCTCTTCTCTCTTTAATTAGCTGCTCTGCTGACCAGTCTGGTACCATAGCCAGGCAGAGCAATTACAATCTCTCTAGCCCTCTTACAATAATTGTGAAACTACGACAAGGTCACAACCAGTGCCCAAAATCTATCCCCTTTGAATCTGGGCCCATTAGGTCTATTCTTGTCCTTTCCACACGGCAGCTCTTCAGGTGCAGCGCTTGGCGGCTGAGCATCTACCTGGGTCAGTTCCTGGCAACTTCAGGATAGGGGGCTCAAGCCGAGATCCTTCCCTGCCCAGCTCCTTGAAGAGCCGCTGCCAGTCAGAATAGATGACACTGGCCTAGTAGGACCGGTGGTCAGACCCTGTTTGAAGCAGCTATATACCTCCACACACAGGATCTGTGGGTCAGTGTTATTTTTTGGGTCCAAAGCCTTGATGCAACACTGGCTGATCAGCGGGTGTCTTGGCGAAAGCCGCACTTGTTCTCAGTGTATGCGTGCGTGTGACTCTCTTGCTGTCGTTGCGATTCAGGAGGCTCGAAGCGACAAGTGCTCAGAACATAGAATTCCTCCAGGTCATTGCCAAAAGGGAGGAGTCGATCCATCAGTCCCAGCTGAGATTAGAGGAGAAAACCCGGGAGTGTGGTTCCTTGGCACGCCAGCTGGAGATGGCCATTGATGATGCGAAGAGGCAGGTCAGTAGCTCCTTTTTTGGCAAGGGGCTGTGGATGGGTTTTGGCAGGAATGTACACGCTGCACCAGGTTCCACCGTCTGCAGGAACAGATTTTTAGGAACCAGTAGCAGAAGTCCTACAAGGATGACATGAACCTTGCTTTGCCCAGCGCTTAAGAGTCGATGAAGATGGCAACGGGCAGGCATCTCTTGCCAGGGCGCAGGGAAGAAGAGGGGAATGTTTTTGGCCTTTTGCTTAAGGGGGTGACTGATAGATGTGAGCACAGACTGCTTTCCAAAGCTTCTCAGGGAATACTGTTGGCTAATGAGTCAGCCCTTGATGGTCTTGTCGCTGCCTGCAGCTGGAACAAACGAAGGACCGAGCGGTTTCGAGAGAGAGAGTGGCCCAGTCCAAGATGCTGGATTTGGAGACCCAGCTGAGCCGGACGAAGACGGAGCTGAATCAGCTGCGGAGGGGCAAAGAGGATGTGAGTGCCCTGCCACGGACGCTGGGATGGAGCCTGCTGCTCCACTGAGCAAAGTTGATTTGTTTTCCTTTTAATTAAAAATCTTTATACCGCTTGGCTCACGTGGGAAGGCTTTCTCCAGTCTAAGGAGCCTTCCTCCAAACTGAATGGCTCCTTCACTGGAGGAAGGGCCAGTTACGTTGGCACGAGGCTATTTGGAGGCTGGCTGGGTCTAGCCCTCTATAAGCTACCTTTGTAAGAATTAAGCGTGCATCTCTAGGTAGAGGTGCTAATGTGTAAAACCCAGATGCCAGCTAAGAGTCTGAACCTTGCTCTTAGGCTTGAAGGGGACTCTAGTTAAAAGAGGTTCTGGTGGCAATTTGTTCTGAAATCCAGAGAGGGTATCCTACCTCTGTGGGTTGTTGTGTAATGTATTCAAAAAGCATAGGGTTCCCTCTCATTCTTGGACAGGCTTGAGGGGCTATCCTATACACCCTCATCCGGTGGTATCTTTCTTCCATTTTGTAGGCATCTAACCCGGCTATCCCCTTTGTATGAGCTGGGCAAAAGCCCCACGTGGACCCTCCCACTGCTTAAAACCACATGGCAGGTGCCAGGAAAGTGGGTGCCGTGTTGCAAACCCCTGCTATAGAGAGCTGAGGCTAGAAAGGATCATGGGGAAGAGGGGGGTACACAAAGCAAATGGAATTGTGGAGGGGGAGACACATTGCTCAGAAGGTGGCATGTGAAAACGATTTAGCAGAAGGCATCAGTAGGTCTAGACTTCCTTGTCGGTATCCTTCTGAGCCTGCATGACCCATAGCGGATGACGGCTTTTTGAGTGTGAATTGCAATGAAGAGCTGGCATGAAAATGGAGCGGCTCCATTGTGCCTGTGCTGTTTTCCGATCCCTTGCTTCTCCTTCTCCCACAGGCGGAACATCGATACGAAAGCCGCCTCCAGGACCTGAAGGACCGCTTGGAACAGTCAGAGAGCACCAATCGCAGCATGCACAACTACGTCCAGTTCCTCAAGTCCTCCTACGCCAGCGTCTTTGGAGACAGTGCCTTGACAAGCTCCCCAATCCGTCCCCGATCGCCCCTCTGATGCGAATGTTTCCCCGCCTGCTCCCCCCCCCCGCAGCCGAAACCCTGTTGCTACAAGCCCAAGTACAGAACCTGGGGAGATCTACTTTAAAGCCATATCTTGTTTACAAAAATGGACAAATATTTTTGGAGTCTGGGTAGATCAGGGTCTTTACTGGGCTGTTTGTGCAAGATACACCCCTTGTACTTAGGACAGAGGCATAATGGGACGAGGACGTCAAGGGCTGCACCACTTCGGAAGCCATATGAAAACCAGCACATGTGGGGGGACTTACACACACACACACGTGCACACACACACAACCCCCCCCCAGTCTCCTAGTGCCTTAACACCAATTACTTCTCTTACACGTAACTTGGGGGATTTTAATCATCTTGTATCTTCGCCGATGTTTTATGGCTGCTTTTGTCAGGATTCCTTAAACTTCCAAAATCACGTTTACCAGATGCAGAACAAATGGGATGCTTGTGATCAGCTATCCACAGAACTGTGAACCCAGCCTTCAAAGCTGTGTCTTCGAGTGGCATGCTTTGGGGCAGACGGGGGGGGGGGGGGGGCGCGGTGCATACAGACCATTGCCTCCTCCAACATTCTTCCAGTTATTCCAGCGGGGGAATCGTCAGTTCAAAGTGTATAACTTTTAACCGTTGCGGGAAAGAAGTATTTGCAGAGAAATAGCACTTTTCAGGAGAAGGGTTTTGTCTGACCGTCCTGTCCTTACTAAGATCTGCGTTAAGGGGTCTCTTGGGATCCATTTTACAGATCCACGTCATCCTTTGGTTCACCTGTCTCTAATGAGTAAGTTTGTGAAGAGCAATGAAAGTTTTTGGTTACGTGTCATCTGATTATTTTCATTCTGCTTCATATGTACACGTGTGGGTGGGTGTGACCTTGCAGGTATTGTGGATAAGCCCTCTGTTGCTGTTTCAAGTGCCTGATATGTTGATTCCTATCGTAGCGCTTATGGGGGAGGGATATTGGACTGTTGGGTGCAGATCGCTTCTCCTCCAAGGCAACGCCTAGGTTGCTTTAACACTTTCCTGTGTTTTCTGTTTTTGCAAAACAAAGGGTTCTATGCTCTCCGTAAGAAACCTTGTTATCTCCCCCCAGTATTTATGTCCCATCGACTTGTTCCTGAATAAGTGGTTTTTATGATCGGTGTTGTAGAAAAATCAGCCAACTTTATGCTTTTTTGGTACATATATTTATGTATGAGGCAACTGATAAAATTTGAGTGAATTTTTTAAAAGCTTTTTCAGAGTTAATGTGTGACTTTTTAAAAAGAAATGGAAAGTGATAAATCTTTGAAGTACAACATATTTTATTTGTGTGGCTTATTTCTGTGTTCACTTTAAAAACACGTTCACTTCTTAGACACAATGGAAAACATGCTGTTTCCTCTGTTTAATTAACATCTGCCCAAAATTTATAATATTTTAAAGAGCCAATTCTGGATTCCCCCTGCGTAAGTGGAACATTCATCGTCAGTCATTTCAGAGAGAGGATTAACTTTTAACGTGTCAGCAATGTGGGTGGGACCCATTTTAATTCTTTTTTCATGTATCATTTCAGAGGGTAGCCCTGTTGGTCTACAGTAGAACAGTTTTGAGTCTTAATGAAGGGAGTTTTGACTCCCAAAAGCTTGTGCCCTGAAACTCTTGTTGGTCTCGACTGGACTCATACCTACTGAATTTATATGTTCAACTTTCCCTTCTTTCAGTAAGGAAAAAAATCGCGAAGCAAATGGGGTGATGCTACACTCCTGCACTCCCCTTCATTTCAAATAGAAACCAGAAGACATTCTGATGGTTAATGATCCACGGATGATTGTCTCAGCTGCTAAGTGTACTGCATGGCTATCATGATGCTATTTCAAGTCCAGGCGTTGTTCAAGTTCCACCGATTGGTTTTCTTCCTTTAGGCTCTCTCACTTATGTGTACATTACATTACTAGGAAACAGCTTAATGAAGTATGCCAGTGTTGTACAGTAGGGTAGTCGTGTTGGTCTGAAGCCGCAGAACGAAGTTTGAGTTCAGGGGCACCCTTAAGACCAACAAAGTTTTATTCAAGGTATAAGCTTTTGTGTGCATGCGCACTATGTTTATGCCACTGGACTCGAGCTTTGTAGTGTTGTGCAGTGATCGTTGAATGGGGGATGGAAGGTAGAATATCAACCACTGTCACTTTCTTGCTGGTCGCTAACCTTTCTGTTTCTCAAAAACAATGAGAGCTTAGAGGTGGAGTAGGAAGACTGGTATTCCATTCCTGTTATCTGCTCTACAAAGATGCTGGAAGTTCTGCCCAATGACAGATGTCATTGGGTGGAGTGTGTTTCTCACATGGAGACTTTCATTGTTGCTTTGCCCCACCATGCCTCTGTGCAGCACACTTCCCCGGAAGGCTCAGGCCTAAGGAACAGATGCTCGTTTTAAAAAATTAAAGCCTGTTTGTTGTCATCATGCCCTGCTGGTAAGCTTCCAGGGGCTGAGGAGTCATCAACTGATGTGTTAACCCCCCACCTAGTAAGATAAGGATGCTTATACCTTTACTGGGGTGGCGCTTATATAAAGTGGTTTGCGGTGGCACAGTAACCAGCTGTTGTGGCAACTCTAGACTGGGGAATGGGTCTTTGGAGTACTTTGAATAGTTGTCCAGAGTTGATAATACATGGCCGTGGCCCATGTATTAAGTGTTTTAAATTGTTTTATGCTGTTTTATCGCACTGAGTGCCATACTGCTGTAAGCCACCCTGAGCCCGCAAATGCGGGGATGGCGGGGTATAAATAAAATTAAATAAATAAATAAGGGAATTGTAATCCCTCCCACCCCCACATATTTGCACATATCAGGTGGGAACTGCATGTCTTACGTCAATCCTCATGAAGTTCAGTGATGAAATACATCATGGAGATCGGCTTCTGCTGTGCACACAGACAGCGGATCGATCAGTTACATAGGAAGACGGAAATGTTAAGTTTGTTTTGCCAGAGCATCACCCAGTCATGCAAACATAAAGGTAACGTTTCCTGGTGGTTCTGCTAACAGAAGGTCCCTGCTTGCCTTCTAATGGTGGTGATTTGGAGTTCTTAGCAATAAAGAGTTCCTGCACCAACTGTATCTTCACAATGCAGGCTCTAAAATGCCTCTCAACTCCTAAAGGTAATGCGCACATGTATGAAGACATGGGGAGGGGGGGGTTAGGGGCCATAACAGTGTTGCAGAAAATACTTATAGAAGGTGCCAGCTTTACAGCCTTTCCAACTTAAAAAACCTCAGCAAGTGTTTGGGAAGATCTTACTTTCCTTTTTTTTGCTTGAGATCCTAGACAGCCACAGTTACTTGGATTTAAAAAGAATGGGGCTAAATAGTTCCATGCACAGTGGCATAACTTCACAGGGAATGGGTCCATAACTCAGTAATGTACAGAGCATGTCTCCATTTCACACATCTCTAGTAGCAGGAGTTATTTATAATCCACCTTTCTCACAGTGACTTGAGGATTATACATAGTACAATCAACCAAATGGGACATTCAGTAACTAATGCATTAGGATTTTAGAAGTCTGGAACTACCAGAAAGAATTTAAGCATAGCATAAGTATTCACAGGCGTCAGGAAAGATCTTTCTCTTCCTGTGATTTTGCAGTTCTTGTGGTTGAGGCAGAGTAAACAGCCATTTATCTGAACCCAAGATCTCTCTTGTTCTAAAGTAGCTGCCCCATGCCGACAGAGATTGACTAATCTGTATATTATTGTAGCCCCTTTTCACCCTGTCTTACATAAACACACATTGGCTTCATCATGTGGCTGTTGGTCTAGGTTTGCTGCCAACTTTGGCTTGGAAAATTTGTGATTTTTTTTTTTGGGGGGGTGCCTGTGGTGGGGAGAATTTGGGGAGGGACCTCACCTGGAATCTATGGCAGGGGTCCCCAGCCTTTTTGAGCCTGTAGGCACATCTGGAATTCTGACACAGCATGGTGTCCGCAGCATGACAATGTCCTCTTTTTGGATTGGAAGGTTAGGAATATTCCTAGTGAGGAGTAGCAGTTATCACAGCTTAAATAGCAGGGGTATTTAAAATGAGATTTGATAGGGTTGCCAGGTCTTCTCTGGCCACTGCTGGGGGATGGGGGGGGATTTGGGGATCTCCTGGAGATTTGGGGATGGAAACCGAAGGGAAAAAAAGGGGGGGGGGAACTTAGCTACAGTCTAAGAGGGTCAAGTTAACATATAAATGATATGACTACTACCTTTGATGGAAGTGACGCACATCCTGACGAATGGGAAATTCGCTACCAGAATAATTTGGAGAATTGGCGCAGCTACTATCTATGGCCCACTATGCAAACTTGTAGCAAATGCAAATATATAAGACATATAAACATATAAGAAAGCAACATCTGGTCATATACACACACACACACACACATATATACACAAAATTCTTTATGCAGATATTTCTGGATGTGTCATTGTAAAATAAAGAATATTGACCACCGAGGAGCTGAAACACTTATGGTCCTTAGGTCATAAGTTTTAATTGGATATGTATAACTATCAGCTTTGACGATATACCCTTCTAATGGTGGTGATTTGGAGTTCTTAGCAATAAAGAGTTCCTGCACCAACTGTATCTTCACAATGCAGGCTCTAAAATGCCTCTCAACTCCTAAAGGTAATGCGCACATGTATGAAGACATGGGGAGGGGGGGGTTAGGGGCCATAACAGTGTTGCAGATGATACTTATAGAAGGTGCCAGCTTTTACAGCCTTTCCAACTTAAAAAAACCTCAGCAGGTGTTTGGGAAGATCTTACTTTCGTCAGTCGGGAAATAGGTCCTCTTTTTTGCATTCCAAAATATGGCAACCCTACGTTCTCCGAATCCGACCCTTTTAACTAGCACGGCAATGCTGGGGACTGAACCTGGACCTTCCTGCCCTCACAGGAGCCATCCCATATAATGAGTCAATAATAAACCAAGGACCTTATAGGCCATGAATAGCTGGTTTATATTGGCAGATACAAGTTTAGTAAAAAAAGAGAGAGAGAGAGAGAGAGAGGGGGGGGGAGAGAGAGAGAGAGGGGGAGAGACCGGAAGTTCCCTTAAGACCTCCACGGTGGGGGCGGGCGTTACTCCGCCGTTCTCAACTGGGATGCGCTTCCGGTTGCCCTGGAAGTAGATGCGGCTTGGCGGCGGCGTGCGGCTGCTTCGGCCGGTTTCCTGGGCGGCGGTTTCGGCGAGGCGTTCCCTTGGTTCTCCGGTCGGAGCCCTCCTCTGTGGCGGGAGATGCCGTCGGAGCAGTTCCGCATGGAGACCCTGCAGGCGCTCCGGAGCAGCCGCAAAGGGCAGCTCATCTACTGCCGGGAGTGGGACCCGGGCGAGGTGCGAGGAGGAGGGGGGTTCGGCCGGCCTCGGGCTGCTTTCGGCGGGGGCGGGCTGGGCCACCACCAATATATGGGGTGGTGGCTGGGCCCCGTCGGACTCGGGTCCGGGGGGGGGGTTGGACTTGGATCACTTCGGGCTGGCGGGAGGGCCGAGGCCAGAGGTTCAAAGACAATTATTAGGTTTGAGTGAGTCAAGTAGTACCTTTAGAGAGCAACAAGAGGCATAAACTGTCGGAAATTCCAACGTTAGAGATTGCGGAACTTAATTCATTTTAAAATAATCATTAACAACAATTAACATCAAAAGCATTAAACAAGCAACAACAAGATATAAGGATCAAGTAGCCTCAAAAGTCTATTATGTAACAGTAAAAACTATTTTAACGTTTTTGAACATTTAATGACCAATACATTTTCGGAATAATGGACACACACACACACCACGGGCTGAATAGGGACCTAGGATTTTTATCTCACCATAGATGGCAATTTTCTGCCTCTGTGCGTTTCTTGTGCTCTAATCAAGCTGGTTGCAACATGCGTGGTACCTGTGCATCCTTTACAACAGTTTGTGCAGCATCTCTCCCACCCTCGGACTAGGATAAAAAGGTAAAGGTTCCCTTGCTCGAAAGCCAGTCGAATCCGACTCTAGGGTTGCGGTGCTCATCTCCGTTTCAAAGCCGAAGAGCCAGCGCTGTCCGAAGACGTTTCCGTGGTCATGTGGCCGGCATGACTAAACACCAAGGTGCACGGAACGCTGTTACCTTCCCACCGAAGTGGTCCCTATTTATCTACTTGCAATTTCTTGCTTTCGAACTGCTAGGACTAGGATAAAAGGACTTAAACTCCCACCTTCGGACTAGGATAAAAGGACTTAACTCTATGTTTTTACTGCACCGTGTTTGACGAAGGGCGCTTTGACTCTCAAAAAGCTCATGTCCTGAAAACTTTTTTGGTCTCTAAGGTACTCTCCTACAACTGCTGTACAGCAGACCAATGCGGCCAGCCTCTGGAACGAAGATTATTATTATGTATGTAGTGGGAAAGTGGGTAGAGGGAGCTTTTTCTTACGGGCATCCAATAAAGTTGATGGGTAATAGGTGCAGGACAGACAAAAGGAACTACTTTATCCAGTGAGTAACTAAACTGTGAAATTCACTGCCAGTGGAGGTAGTGACAGCCCCAAGTATAGGTGGTGTTAAAGGGAGTTAGGCAGATTCATGCAGAAGAGGCCCAGCACTGGCTACTTGCCATTGTGACTTAAAATAACCTCCATAGTCAGAAGCCACAAACCTCTGAGGCAACAACTAGGGAAGGCCTTGGTCTCTGTGCCATATTTGCTGACCCTTCAGGGCAACCGGTTGGCTACTGTGCGAAACAGGATGCTAGACTAGATGAGCCATGGGTCTGATCCAGCAGAGATATTCTTATGTACTTAGTATATATGTAAATATTTTAAAAGCAGCTCCACACAAGCAGAAAGGTAGCTCCTTGGAGAAGACTGGTCATAAAAACTGGTGTGTATATAAAGGTGTTGTACAACTTGAATGGGTCTGCATGGATGCTTTCACTGATTCAGAAAAACCTTTACGACACCTTTGGGCAGGATGTATTTGCACAAGCTCAGACTTTCTTGGAAGTTAAAAGCTGACTTTCCATGGTATGAGGGAAAGAATGCTGAATGGTCTAATTGAAAATCGGTGTGGTATAATGACTGGAGTATCAGACTAGGATTTGGGAGGTAAAGGTAAAGATTTCCCTTGCTTGAAAGCCAGTCAAATCCTACTTTAGGGTTGCGGTGCTCATCTCCATTTCCAAGCCAAAGAGCCAGCACTGTCCGAAGACATTTCCGTGGTCATGTGGCCGGCATGACTAAACGCCAAGGCGCACGGAACACTGTTCCCTTCCCACCGAAGCAGTACCTATTTATCTACTTGCAATTTCTTGCTTTCGAACTGCTAGGTTGGCAGGAGCTGGAACCAGAGACAGGAGCTCACTCCGTCATGTGGCACTTGGGTCTTGAACTGCTGAACTACCGACCTTCCAGCCTGCAGTTCAGCATCTTAACCACTTGTGTTCAAATGCCCACTTTGCCCTGGAAGGTTGCTGGGTGGCCTTGGGCTAGTCACACATATTCAGCCTAACCCGCTTCACAGGGTGGTGAGAATAAAATTGAAGCTGCTTTGGGCCCCCAGTAGGACCCAAAACGGAGCATAAATGGAGTATAAATGAAGCAGATATCGCACATGAAGGTGTGTGCATTATGCGTTAACAGTACAGATTCAGCAAGCAAAATGTTAGTATATGAAGAAGACAGGATCTAGCTCAGCCTGCTTTTTACGTGTTTTCCATTTTAGGGAAGGAGCTGTGTTTTAGCAGCAGAGAATCTGCTTGTCTTGCAGAAGGTCCCCAGGTCAATCCCTGGCATCTCTAGTTTTTAAGAAAGGATCTGTTAGTAGGTGATGTGAAAGACCTCTACCTGAGACCCTGGAGAGGTGCTGCCCAGTCTTAGAGGAGGAGGAGGAGATTGGATTTATACCCCGCCCTTCACTTGGAGTCTCAGAGCGGCTTACAAACTCCTTTCCCTTCCCCTCCCCACAACAGACACCCTGTGAGGTGGGTGGGGCTGAGAGAACTCTGACACAGACTGCTCTTTTTCAAGGACAGCTGTGCCAGAGCTTGTGACTGACCCAAGGTCACATCAGCAGGTGCAAGTGGAGGAGTGGGGACTCAAACCCGGTTCTCCCAGCTTAGAGTCCGCACACTTAACCACTACACCAAACTGGCTCTCTTAGGAGATGACACCAACCTTAATTGGCCAATGGTCTGATTAAGTATAAGGCAGCTTCATGCATTCATGTATTTACAAGGGAGCTAGTTGGGCAGGGGTGGGTGGGGGGTTTAAGCCCAAGGGAGTGCTGAAAAAAATTTTTTTGTCCTCCTGCAGTCTTCAGGAGTTCACCATCTCATTCTGCACATGCAGATCAAGTCTTTGGAACACACTGTGTCCATGTGAACTAGTTTGCCTTCTGTGGACTACTTTCCATTCAGTCTTCCTTCCCTGCCTTGCTTTTAAATAGAATATGTGTCTGGATATATTTGAGTTTCAATGGCTATTTTAGAAGCACAACTAGTAATATCACAGGCATTTGTTTGCAGCCTAAATGCTGACATTTATAGGCTCTGTGCCCCCACTTTATATTTGTGTGTGTGTATCATGAACCTGATAAATAGGACATTAGTGTATTGAGTTTTGAGACAGTTAGTGTCTGAACTAGGATCTGGGTTCAAATCCCCCCTTACCCATAATGCTCCACTCTCATCCTAGCCTACCTCACGGGGTTGTTGTCAAGAGAGAATGGGGAGGGAATAATGATGTAGGTCACTGATGGATGTTCCTTGGAGGAGGAGCAAAATCGAAATGTTGTTATTTTGCAGTTTCATATGTGAATTTGTTGCAGATCTTTATATTATACTTGTTTTTAATTTAAAAATCTGGGTGGTAGAGTGGCTTAAGGCCAAGGCAAATTAAATTTTATAGCACGAGTGTTCATCATCTGTCTTTCTATGCAGCCCCACAGTGGGACTGCACTTGCGCAGGCCAGCTGCAGAGACTGATTTTCTAGCTTAAAAATAGGAAATCTGAGCATCTGAAGAGAGGGAAGAAGAGAAGAAGAGACTGGATTTATACCCCCCCACCCTTCACTTGAAGTCTCAGAGCGGCTTACAAACTCCTTTCCCTTCCCTTCCCCTCCCCACAACAGACCCCCTGTGAGGTAGGTGGGGCTGAGAGAGCTCTTTCAAAAACTGCCCTTTCAAGGACAGCTCTTGTCAGAACTATGGCTTGCCTAAGGTCATCCAGCAGCTGCGAGTGGAGGAGTGGGGAATCAAACCCAGTTCTCCCAGATTAGAGTCTGCACACTTAACCACTACACCAAACTGGTTTCGCTGAAAGTGTCATATGACTCGGGATGAACCACACTCATTCTCTTTTTCGGCACCATGAGAGCGGTTTGATAGCTTTTGTCTGTTAATCTGTTGTCTCTGAGGCAATTTACTTCCATCTCAAGTCAATCGTTTTCCTCAGTTTATGTGGCATCTAAAGCCTTATTTAAGAAATGTACAAGGTGTGGTCTCAAGATGACCCACACTGTCAAACATGACTATTCCCCAATCTGCCTTGAGGAAAACCATGAACTCTTCGGTTGCCAGATATGAAAAAAAAATACCCCAAAGGCTCGGGCAGACAGGGCGTTATGTTTAAAAGCCACCCTTTGGGAGAGAACCTTTCTTCATCGATTTCCAAGAAAACCATTGTGAGTCATCTGGACCCGACTACGGGCCCGACGCCTGGTTCCATCTTGAACCCATTGTCCATAAAATTGATTCCAACCTTGGTACCCACAGCACAACCTAAATGAGCTGCCTCAGTTACATCCAGGCAAGAAAAGGCGTGCATTTGCTCAATATCACTAGAACCTTCCACTCAGCTCGGGTCCCAATCGGAATCTCCAGCCAAATGGCATAAGAAGTCCAAGTCGAAGGACAAGGAGAGGTCTAAAACTACCAACCCCATTGTATTGCCCAGATTACCCAAGGCTCCCACGGTTCTGATTCTGCTAGTGCCACAGACCCTATCCCCGCATCTGGTATCAGGCCAAGAATCCTTACCTGAACAAGAGTTTGACAACTCATCTCTTTCTCCAGAACCAATTATACCTCTGGAAATGGTCCCAACCTATTGGGAAGCACCTATGCAGGATCCACAGGAGTATTTCATGTCTCTTTGCTACCTGGACCGTTGGGGCCAGGACCCCTCAAAATATAGCCTTGACATGGAACCGATGACTGTGTTAGAACATTCCGACCTTCAAATCATACCCCGTTCCAAAACACACTCTCTCTCTACTGTTTTACATGAAAGTCGAGAGACTGCTTCCGAGCCCTCTCCAGAAGACACAGTGGGTGATCCCAACCCTATTCCACCCCATGAAGACTAAAGACTGTACATTGAAATGATGATACGTATGGCGAGAGCACTGGAGCTCGATGTGGCAGTCTCTGATTCAAAGCCTAAGGATAAGATCCTGGCTCGGCTGTATGCAGATTCTCCGACCAGAGATGCCTGCCCTGTCCTTGAAGGCCTGGAGGACCTTCAAGCTACACCTAGAAAGCCTGAGAATTTATATCGAGAGAAACCCGAGAACGCTGCATATCTACTATCCCATCCAGCTTCATCATCATCTGTTATAACTAATGGGATGCAAGCCCACCATCAACACAACTCCCCCCACTGACCATGAAGGTTGCTGTCTGGATTTTCTTGGGAGGAAATTTTATTCTTCGGCTGCCTTGAATGTTAGAATTGCTAATTATGAGACCATAATGGGGAGATAGGAGCTGCGGTGGCTCAAGTGGTTAAGACGCTGAACTGCAGGCTGTGGAAGGTCAGTAGTTCAGCAGTTCGAGACCCGGGTGCCGCATGACGGAGTGAGCTCCCGTCTCTAGTTCCAGCTCCTGCCAACCTAGCAGTTCGAAAGCAAGAAATTGCAAGTAGATAAATAGGTACCACTTCGGTGGGAAGGTCACAGCGTTCTGTGTGCCTTGGTGTTTAGTCATGCCGGACACATGACCACGGAAACGTCTTCGGACAGCGGTGGCTCTTCGGCTTTGAAACGGAGATGAGCACCGCAACCCTAGAGTCAGATTTGACTGGCTTTTGAGCAAGGGAACCTTTACCTTTTAATGGGGAGATATCAGCTGTTCTTATGGGAGAGCTTGGAGAAATAAATGGAGATGCTTCCTAAGGAGGCAAAAAGCCTCGCTAAAGTAATCCAAATGGAAGGAATCAGACTTTCTAAGGAACAGATGTGTTGGGAAACACTCCGCCGAGGTGTCAGCCCGTGCCATAACCTCTGCCATCGTTCTCTGCCACCACTCATGGCTGAGAAACACCACCCTGCCACTGGATACAAGAGCTAGAATAGGGGTCTCCCGTTCGAGAGACCATCGCTCCTTTCCCAAAATACTGACGAGTTCCTGTCAGATATAAAAAAGAGTAGACAAATGGATCATTTGCTCAGTGTCGACCCCCAGCAGATACAGCGTTACACCCCGAGGCAACAACCTTTCAGTGCCCCATTCCACCATCCACAGAAGCCTCAGGCACATCAACCTTATTTGTATCTTCCCATGCGACAGTACCAGGGTCAGAGTTCCTCCTGTGGTAAGCGCAAGGGCACTTCACACGTGTGACCCTCTCAGTACCAGAGGGAAGTTGGGCAACAGCAACAACAATAATCAAAAATGTTACTAACCACCATACAGTCTAAGGACGACTTGTCTTTTATTGATTGTTTATCAAAATCTTTGGTTCAGTGGAGTTCCATATGTTTGAACAGTTGGATTTTATCTGTTATTGCACATGGTTATAAGTTAGAGTTCGGTTCACTTCTACCCTTGATTCCTGGCCTGTGATAACCACTTTCCTGAGTTGATAATTCAGTTAGCAGAGTTGTTGTGAAAAGGGGCAGTGGAGGGAGGTCCCCGAGGGCCTTCAAGAACAAGGTTTCTATTCCTGTTTTTTGTTGTTGACAAAAAAAGATGGTAGCAGAAGCCCGATTTTCGATTGAGGTCATTAAACGAGTTCTTGATAGTTAAAGGTTCAGAATGGTCCCTTTACCATCAGTTCTGGAGTTGCTTTCTAAGGGCATGTGGTTTGCTGTATTGGACTTGAGAGATGCCTATTTCCACATCTCTGTCCACCACTCCCATAGGAAATACCCATGATTCAGGCAAGGTCATTACATTTTCCAATATGCGACTTTACCATTTGGCCTAACCACTGCTTCTCTTGTTTTCATGGAATGTGTGGCCGTGTTGGTAGTACATTTAAAAACTAAAGGTTGCATGATATTTCCTTACTTGGATGACTGGCTTGTAGTTTCAGATACTCAAGACTCCCTACAGAGTCATATCTATCTCATCACTTTGGGTTTGGCAACAAACTTTGATAAGTCTCATTTAGAGCCCTCCTTACAGGTGCAATTCATAGGCCCCCGCCTAGACTCCCACATAGGTAAAGCCTTCTTATCTATTGACCGAGCACAGGTTATAAAACTTTTGTTAGCATCGTTTTTGTAGGAAACATTTTCAATCAGTCAGACCCATTCAATGCTTCCTTGCAGCAGGATTTCTCAACTCAAACATCCTGGAAGAATTTGTTGCACTATCAAGGAAGCCATCCCAAATCTCAGCTGATTCATGTATATGACAAAATTACAAATCAGCTCGCAGATGCTCTTAGGATGCAATCAGTGCAGCAACAAGCTCCTAAGGAGTCAGGTGTACAAGGGTGACTTGACTATGAATGCCTAAATATGAAGGCTCAGATGTGTGTCTTTTATCAGCAGTACAGAGAATTAAATTTACTAAGACCTCCAGTGATCTATTTTGAGCTTAAGTGTAAATTAAATCAAAATTTTAAAAATAAAAAGCATTCATACAAAAATGCTGGGATCTTCTTCTTCAGGCCACAATTAAAAATGATACAAAGAAATTCTGGGCTCTAGTCCTTGGAGAAGAAAATGGCTCTGAATAGTTCTATTTCTGCAAACAATTGGCATGACTATTTATAAGCATCAGCTTTTTAAAAAACAAATGAGATCTCATAGTGGGTTAGGAGGGAGGGAAAGTGTATCTGCACAGAAGATGTCGGTGAGCAATAGTTACAGGTAAGTGCAACCCTGTTTTCATCATCCGTCTTGCTGTGCAGGCCCACACTGGGACCACTCTCAAGTATTTACCTGTGGAGGAGGGTTGAGCCTCTCATTGGAACAGGGAATGAAGGACAGTTTCCCCACGTCTGCATCTCTTCTCTCTTGCAGTTCAGTGGCACGGTGGTGGATAAACGTGTCCTCCGAAGCCCAGGCCACTGCTTTACAGACATCGAGTAGGGGAACGTGCCGGTGGAAGGCAGCTGAAGATCCCTGAGCCCGGGTAGAATGTGCTCTAAACCCCCCCCCCCGGCAAAGTACTCCTGACTCCTCGTGACAAGAATGAATGGCAGACAGCAGTGTTCCCTCTAAGCTGAGTTAGTGTGAGCTAGCTCACAGTTTTTTATCCTCCGGCTCACACATTTTTGTCTTAGCTCAGGAAGGATGGCTCCAGAGCAAACTAATTTATGCAGTAGCCAAGTTGCTTGCTCACAGCTTTAATGTCAGTAGCTCACAAAGTAGAGTTTTTGCTCACAAGACTTCACAGCTTAGATGGAACATTGGGAGACAGTACCCACCGTGATAGTGTCTGGGAAGATGCTGCCCGGTCCCAACAGCCAACTAGAAGCCTGTTAGATTTTTGAAAGGGCTTAGTTCTGTCAATGTAAGGTGCGGTGTCCAGAACCCAAAGGTTACCCCTGCAAAAACGTTGGCATCATGATACCAAGAGAGAAGAGATGCAGGCGTGGGGAAGCTGTCCTTCATTCCCTGTTCCCATGGGAGGAAAACAGGGTTGCACTTCCCTGTAACTGTTGCTCATCGACGTCTTCTGTGCAGACACACATTCCCTCCCTCCTAACCCACTGCGAGCTCTTATTTGTTTTTTAAAAAGCCGATGCTACTAACTACCATTACTGTGCTCATGGCGGCTTGGTGAGAACTGAGGGAATGGAGTGGTCTGCCCCAAGGCATGTGACGGTTTTGGTAGGAAAACCCGCACGTGCTCAGATGGCCTAGGGTCGGACCGCCCAGTTGTAGACTTTTAAGCTAGAAAATCAGTGTCCGCAGCCAGCCTGCACAAGCGTAGTCCCAATGTGTGTCTGCACAGAAGACATCGATGAACAGCAGTTACAGGTAAGTGCAACCCCGATTTACTTATGTATTTTGTTTCCTCTAGGAGATTCTGGAAGGGGTCAGAGCCCCCCCTGAGCTGTCTCCCTATTCAGGTTGGGTGCTGGAACAGCTGCTCTCCCGCTCTCCAAAGGAAGGTCCTCACTTCGCAAGCTCAGCTCCAGAAGAAGAATCCGCTCCTGTCACATCCCACGTGTCCTCTCTCGCAAACACTGCTTCACCCACTAGCCTGTTGCTTTCCAGACCACTTTCAACAGAAGCACCAAGTGATGCACAGGTAACCGGATGGCAATTCTTGGGGCCTTGGTCTGTCTTCTCAGAGCTGCTCTGTGTCTTAGTCTTGTGAAGCTATGATAGTCTTCAGACTTCTTCGCCATCGTTTGTTCCTTTGTTCAGTCCTTCCCTTTCATCTGAGACTTCCATCATCAGTACCTGCCCCATCCTGTGGTGAGGTAACAGCTGTGTCTGTTAACAGGCTCAAAGTCAGACCTTGCAGCATAGTTTGCACAAATCATAGATTAGAAACAACCAGCCTGTAAAACAGCAAGCTGCAGCTAGAGCTGTTCTCCGATTTCATGTTCCATCTGCTCAGCACTTGCTTTGTAAGCATGATGGCAGTAACTGATTTATCAGTGTGAGCGAGTGTGGTGTAGTGGTTGGAGCAGGATTTGAGAGGACCCAGGTACAAATCCCCATTCTGCCGTGGAAGCTTTGCTGGGTAACTTTGGGCCAGTCGCATGCTCTCAGTCCAACCTACCTCACTGGGTTGTGACTAAAATGGATGGGAGTAGAATTATATAAACGGCTTTGGGTCACTGCTGGGAAGAAAGGCAGGGAATAAATGACGTGGACACAATCAAACCATAGTTAGAACAAGCAGTAGTTTGCAAGTAAATGATGTGGACACAATCAAACCATAGTTAGAACAAGCAGTAGTTTGCAAGTAAATGACGTGGACACAATCAAACCATAGTTAGAACAAGCAGTAGTTTGCAAGTAAGTGATGTGGACACAATCAAACCATAGTTAGAACAAGCAGTAGTTTGCAAACTTACTTCAGGCCATCACTTCTGATTCCATTGTTTTGGCCAGTCACAAAGCATGGTTTGTCAGTTTTGTTGTTGTTGTTCAGTCGCACAGTCGAGTCCGACTCTTCGCGACCCCATGGACTAGATCCCGCCAGGCCCTCCTGTCTTCCGCTGTCCTCTGAAGTTTGCTCAGTTTCATGTTCGTTGCATCGATGACACTGTCTAACCATCTCATCCTTTGCCGTCCCCGTCTTCTTTGACCTTCAGTCTTTCCCAGCATCAGGGTCTTCTCCAGTGAGTGCTCCCGTCTCATTTGGTGGCCAAAGTATTTGAGCTTCATTTTCATTATCTGGCCTTCCAGGGAAAAGTCAGGGTTGAGGCTCAAAAGAGGCGCACGTTGGCACTGAGTACTAGGTTGGATTGATCTAAAAGAATACAATTCTAATGTAAAGTACTCCTGTTATGTCAATCAGGACAAAAGGCAAATCACTGATGTAAGTGAAAACAAACTGCCAACTATTATTTTAATACTTTCGAATTGGTTGCTATAGCAAGGCAAGTGCGATGTAGCGGGTTGAGTGTAGGAGGTGGGCCAGAGAGAGGTGAGTTCCAGTTCCAACTCAGCCGTGATGCACGTTGGACTACTTTAGGAAAGGCTGAGTGAGAGAGACTGGCCCCATCTCCCAGGGTTGTTGTGAAGATAAAATGGAAGAGGGCAGACAGAGCAATGTATACCGCCTTGAAATCGCTACGGATAAAAATGTAATGATAGGACATGACCCCCCCCTCCCACATATTTTATAATTTTTTTGGAGTCTGCAATCAAATAATTTTTATAAAAAATTATTTATTCACTTTATAGTCTGTGCAACATTTTCCGATTACCAGAGACCCCTTATATGTCACGCCTGGAAAAGCACCTCTCTGTCGTACTCTGAGGTGACGTGTGTTCTGCTGCCTCCTTGTCTTCCTTACTTATTTTTGCTGCCACTAAAGGCTCTTGAAATTCTTAGTTGGACCTAAGGAACAGGAAGGCCTAGTTGTATCTAACAGAATGACAGAATGGTCAGTGTGTGGGGGTGGCTCTGAGGTAAAAGGCAATCCTTTACTCTAAAGAAAACAGTTGTTTTCTCTTAAACGTGGAGTTTATTTAGAAGTATAACAGCATAATGGTTTCAGTAAAAATCATAAGCATAATGGTGTCAGCAATGTTCCCTCTAAGCTATGGAGTCTTGTGAGCAAAAATTCTACTTTGTGAGCTACTGGCATTAAAGTGGTGAGCGAGCAGTTTGGCTACTGCATAAATTAGTTTGTTCTGGAGCCCTCCTTCCTGAGCGAAGATAAAAATGTGTGAGCCGGAGGCTAAAAAATTGTGAGCTAGCTCAGACTAACTCAGCTAAGAGGGAGCACTGGGTGTCAGATAGGTATAGTTTTTCTTGTTTCTCTGAAGTTCCTTAAGTAGACCTGGCTGCAAAGGCTTATTTTCTCACTTGCCACTTGCACTAATAACTTCCACTAAGCTCAGTTTCCTAACTTGCCACTTAGATGAATAGCTTCGACAAAGAGCACAGATTTCTCTCACAGCACCTCACTCTTCACCACTCTTTTACAAAGCCTCTCTCCAAACCAGTCAACTCTGCCCCCTTGGGTACAGCTACCATCCAGTCATGACACACTTCAATCGCCCATCCAGCCCCCTCTTTTTTTTACTCTAGAGTCCTTCATTTTAAACCCCAGCAACATATAGACACACACACACACAGAGCGCTTTTTTTCTGGGGGAATGCACCAGAACAGAGTCCCGGAACCTCTTCAACAAAGTTCTTTTAAAAATGTTTAAAAGTTCATGAGTCTTCGGTATACAGACTGAAAACTTCATTTCCCTCTTGGGAGTTCCGGCACCACTTAAAAAAAAAAAAGTCCTACACACACACCACAAAAATAAAAAAACACACAAAATATTTACATAGCAAACACTGCAGGGGTCCCCAACCTTTTTGATCCTGCGGGCACTTAGAATTCTGATGTAACATGGTGGGCACAGCCACAAAATGGCTGATAAAAAATGGCTACTGTAGAGTATAGGCATGTAGAGTATAGACATGATATGCTAAACAATGCAGTAAATGGTATTACATAAGTATAAAAACAAAGCAGTGAGAGTAGGATTATAGGATAACAGAAACAGCAAATAGTCTCTGAGTCGACTTCAAGAGTAGACCCCTGTAAAGGGCATTTCAGTAGTCTAGTCTCAACATTACCGTGGTGTGGATCTAGTGGCCACATCAGCTGAGTCAAGGTAGGGGGCCTGTCTTCCTGGCTGAACTAAGTTGGAAGAAAGCCCAAAAGAGTGCACAACAAATTATTAAAAGCTACAATGGGAGTTACAATTTATTTTAACAATAAAAAAGGAGAGTGCCAGAACAAAGGAAAGGGAGACTGTTCCCATTATAATCAGCCACCTTCACATGCTCCTTCAGAGCTTGCTCTTCCACAGGACGGGAGGGTGAATGCCTTCTGGGCAGTCTCAGGAAGAATATTCCTGGGCGGGGCAGGGGGGGGGAATCAGAGGTTGAAGGGAAAGGTAAGTGGGAGTGGCAGTTTTCACAAGTTTGCAGGAAGAGTCGGAGGGAAGAGACCGCTGGCGTTGATTGAAGATGCCACAGGGGTTCATTATTAATAATCCATTTCTAAAGTGCTTTCGGCCCCGACCTGGACGGCCCAGGCTAGCCTGACTTTGCCAGATCTTGGAAGCTAAGCAGGGTGGGCCCTGGCTACCAGGGCTATTTTGGGGCAGGAACGCACAGGAACGGAGTTCCGGCTGGCTCCCGAGTTGGCCACGCCCAGCAGGAACTCATTAGCATAATAGGCCACACCCAACAGCAGAAACTTATTCGGATTGGCTACATTAGGGGTGTGTGGCCTAACATGCAAAGGAGTTCCTGCTACAAAAAAGGCCCTGGGTTTTGACAACAGGATAAACAGAATAAGAAGCAAAAGGTGGGTGTGGCTGGATAACCACACTTCTGGTAACACGGGGGTGCGGCCAAATGTGCTAATGAGCTGTGCTGTCGGGGGTGTGGCCTAATATGCTAATGAGTTCCTGCTGCTGGGTGTGGCCTATTATGCTAATGAGTTCCTGCTGGGCTTTTCCTACAAAAAGAGCCCTGCAGTGGCTACTATTTGGATGGGAAGGAATACCAGGGCCATGATGCCGAGGCAGGCCATGGCAAACCACCTCTGAACGTCTCTTGCCTTAAAAATGCCACCAGGGGTTGCCATCAGTCGGCTGTGACTTGATGGCAACGACAGCAACAACACAAAAGCGCCTTTGAGTATTCAGAGCACTTTACATTTTATTGTAATTCTTGCAACGGCTGAGTTTTATCCTCATATTTCTTTTTGGGGGGGGCCACTGGGTTTTGAGAGAGGGAGTGAAATTCGAACTGCGGTTTTCTGACCTGTGGCTCATTCTGTCAGCCGCTCCGCTAAAGCCACTGCTGCAGTACCCTGCCTTGCTCTTTCTCCCTAGTTTGCAATTGCTCTTCTCAGTCTTGCATCCAGCCGCTGACTTTTGTTCCCTTTTTGCCCAGGACTGTGACGAATGGAGAGATCTGGAGACCAACCAGGAGAGCGTTCCTGTGCCTCCCCCTTCAAAAAGTGTGGAGGTGGAAGGCCTGATACGCTTGCATGAGGAAATCCAGAGGCTGAAGGGAAAGGTAAGTGCAGAGCTCTGTGCCGAAGGGAAGAGTCCTCACGATAGCTGGAGGTAGCCGTGAAAACAAGTTCACCGTTCAGTTTACAACCGGAAGCAACAGAACGTATGGCGGTTTTCAAGCAGCGGCTGGATGAACCCTTGTCAGGGATGCTCAAGGCTGATCCTGCATTGAGCAGGGGGGTGGACTAGATATGGCCTGTGTGACCCCTTCCAAACCTATGATTCTATGAGCTAATATGGCTAGATCTATACATGTTTACTCACGTCGAGTGCTTGTGTACAGATCTTCACTGCAAAGAGATCATCAAGGAACTGTTACCAGTATAATCACAACACGATTTGAGTTGCTAAACTGGTTGAAAAAGATCCAGAATCCTTTGTTTGTGCAGGCTGTGGAAGGTCGGTAGTTCAGCAGTTCGAGACCCGAGTGTGCCGCATGACGGAGTGAGCTCCTGTCTCTAGTTCCAGCTCCTGCCAACCTAGCAGTTCGAAAGCAAGAAATTGCAAGTAGATAAATAGGTACCACTTCGGTGGGAAGGTAACAGCGTTCCGTGCGCCTTGGTGTTTAGTCATGCCGGCCACATGACCACGGAAATGTCTTCGGACAGCGCTGGCTCTTCGGCTTTGAAACGGAGATGAGCACCGCAACCCTAGAGTCGGATTCGACTGGCTTTCGAGCAAGGGAACCTTTACCTTTACCTTTTACACATTTGGTAGGATTCTGTGAACAAACAGAAGGTTTAAGCAGAATTATGATGTGGCATAATATTCGCTGCCAAACCAAACGTTTATTACGGTCATAACACCAGTCACAATAAATACAGATAAAAAGGACAAGTTAAAATGAATAAATACATAAAGGATATTATTTATAAATAAATAAGATATGGGATACATGTGTAAAAGACACACTCATGTATGTGTAAAAAACACACTCATTTCATTAATTTTATTTCCCAGCAACTGACGTTTCCTTCATCAAGTGATGCCACTTTCTGAGTGCTATCGCACAGAATTTTGCTACTGCATATGATGCAGTTCTCTGACTATCATCTAATAGATATACCCGAAGGGTTTCAGAACTAAAATCTATATAATACTGCAATGGTGTGGCATAATATGTAAGCTGCTGAAATGAGCCATTTAATTAACAGATATCTTTGTTCAGGGTGCATAACAATGCTTGCAATACGATTCATTGTACTTTGCGTCATGTGGAGAATATAAATAGACCAGACTGCAATCTGGAAGTTCAAGTAGAACCTAGGAATGAAGGTGGTGTGGTCCTTTGACCTCACTCAGTAACTCCAAAGCCTTTTCAAATTGAGTTTGGAACTAGTTTGCTTATGTTTTTGAACCAGAGAAAACTATTTGTAACGTTTGCTGAAGGCTCTTGAGGCGGGGGAGGGGGGACGGGGACGCGGTGCCTGCCGACACTTTTTCTGGTGCTGGCCAAGTGGTTTTAGAAAGTGGGTACAGCCAGGCGGAGGAGCTTCTGATTGGCCACTGAGACTTGATTGGCTGTGCAGATTCTTAACAATGTTGCTTTGGCGGCACAAGGATCTTCGCTGTGTGACTGAAGATGAGCTGTGGCAGTCAGTTTGTGGCTGACTCCACTTCTTGCAGCAGTCACCCCGTGGCATCCGTTTTGTGGCTGTGCCCGTCATTCTGTGACGGAAGTCCCAAGGTCCCCAAGGGATCAAAAAAGTTGGGGTTCCCTGCTCTGAGGTGTCTCTTCCCCCTGCACAGGGAACAGGCAGGTCTTCTGCAAGGATGGGGTGGCTCTTCCAATTGAGCCGACCTCCATTCCCAAAGCAAATTTCCATTTAACAGGGAAAATGGGGTTGCCTTCATTTGGAGATCACCATTACCTGATAAGGAACGGATTGACACTGTCTAGATATTCAGGGGGACTTCGGTGGATTTTATCTTCAATGCTTGTACCATTTAGACAATTCCCTTTGGGAGGCCAAATTCTCCTAGTTTATGTTGAGGTGTTAGCTTAATGGCCGCATGCTGGTTGTGACCTTTAACGCCCTTCATGACCTGGGACTCACGTATCTGAAGGACCGTCTCCTTCTGTATGTCCCTGTACGCCAACTGAGGTCATCGGGCAGCCATCTGTTGGCCATCCTACCACTTAGGGTGGCCCGTCTGACATCGACCAGAGCCCCAGGCTCCGGCTCTGTGTTTTAAATGTTTTATGGAGTATATATTTCATATCTCATAAAAGTAATTCATATCCTTATCTGTCTATATTATAAAGCTAATTTGGGGTGACCACACTCGATGCGCTCCCTCAGCCATAGGCTGAGGCGGCCGCCACTCACACCGGGGACGCTGACCACTGGCCGCGGTTTCTACCCTCGCCCACAGAGGCACCGCTGGAATGAACGTGCCCTGCAATTCGAAGAGAGAGCTGCTTTGCTGTGGCCACACTCACACTCCCTCAGCCATAGCCTGAGCCAGCCGCCACTCATGCCGGGGCCGCTGGCCGTGGTCTCTGATGCCCACCCACAGATGTGGTGCCAGGGCGAGCATGCCCCACAATTCGAGGACACCGTAGTGGAGTCTCGCCCAGCCACCCAAACAGCCACCATGTCCGTCCTCTCCCGAGCGCCCATAGCCAACACACTAACTACTACACCACACTCCCCAGCAGGGGGGGGGGGGCCCCGCCCCAATCCTGCTACCACTGCCCTCACCTGAGCCCGGCTACAGGCTCCCGGCTGCCCTGCGCCCAGACAACAGCCGCACCACCCACTCCAGCGCATGGGGGCCGCCTCCGGCCATGCCTGATCCTGCTGCCGCCGCCGCCGCCAACTACATGCATCTGGCTGGCCTCTCACCTAGCAGGGGGCAGTGTGCTGCCGGCCCCAAGGCTGCTGGAGGTTACCCAGCCACTCCCTCGCCCCCTGACTCTGGGGGGTCGCGCGGGGGGAGAGATCGGGAGACTGGGGGCACCTGCATCGCGCCGAGCTATGGCCCGTTGTCTTCCTCCACAACGGACTTTGCTCCTGGTATATTATACTCCCTTTTGTGTTTTAAACAAAAAAAGAAAAGAAATTGAGGTTACATTCCATTTACACAACCAACAAACCAAACCCAATCCAGTTTGTATCCTCTTTTTTTCTCTTATTCCCTTATCCCACCCGCATATTGGCTCTGGCTCTGTGGGGAGAGGAGCCCCCCCCCTTGGAGTTCTTCAGAAGGCACTTTTGTGAGGGGGGTTGAATGGCAGAAGGGGGGAGGGGAGTGATTTGTGGGTTGTTATACTCCCTTTTGTGTTTTAAACAAAAAAAGAAAATAAATTGAGGTTACATTCCATTTACACAACCAACAAACCAAACCCAATCCAGTTTGTATCCTCTTTTTTTCTCTTATCCCACCCGCATATTGGCTCCGGCTCCGTGGGGAGAGGAGCCCCCGTCCTTGGAGTTCTTCAGGAGGCACTTTTGTGAGGGGGTTTGAATGGCAGAAGGGGGGAAGGGAGTGATTTGTGGGTTGTTATTTTATCTTTCGTCTTAGCTGACGATGTTTTAACTGTTGCAGTAAGCCACCTTGAGCGACAAGGAGAGGTGGGGTATAAATGTTTTAATAAATAAATATGTTTGTAGCATATGAGGGTCAGGGTAAAGTTGTAACCTGGAATTAGAAGGATATTTGACCCAATAGACTGTGAAATTGAACACTGAGGAGGGGGAATGAGCAGCCGATCCGACGTCCCCTACGGCTTTGGAGAAATGCGTGCGAATGCTCGGGGACAACCTCGGGAAATGTCAGAAGACAGCATTCAGCTGAACGGGGCTCCCAGAGGAGGTGGAACAGCTCCTTAGTTGCTCTTGCCTTAGCCCCCTGCCTCACAGCCAGACGTGTATTTCCCCTTCCGTTCAGGCCACTCCTCGCCACAAGCGTTTGATTTTTGAATTTTGCAGTCAAAACAACACAACCTGTGCACGCATGCCTAGACTTGCAGCCAGGCATTCAGAGTTTCCTTTATGCCGAATGTGTATATGTTTTTTCGCAGCATGACCGAATCTCTCCCTCTTTGGCTTTCTGGCCTACAGGAAGAGCTCAGGAAGCGCCTGGAACAGCAAGAGCAGGTGGTGAAGGCCGCCTCAGAGGAGGCGAGCGAACTGCTGAAGCGCTTCGATGAGCTCAAGGAGCTGAAGCAACATCAGGAATATCAAGACTTGAAGCAAGTGATCGAGAGCAGGTGAGAGGAATGCTCCCTCTAAGCTGTGGAGTCTTGCGAGCAGAAATTCTACTTGGTGACCTGCTTGGCATTAGAGTTGTGAGCGAGCAATTGGGCTGCTGCATCAGTCAGTTTGCTCTGGAGCCCAATCCTTCCTGAGCGAAGACAAAAATGTGTGAGCCGGAGGCTAAAAAACCGTGAGCTGGCTCACATTGACTCAGCTTAGAGGGAACACTGAAGGTTCACTTAATCAGACCAAGAATTTGGGGTGGCGGGGAGTCACAAGGAGAACGAGATTCCGTGACTTGCTCACCCTGGAAGCCCGGGCAGCTGGAGAAGGTGCTGCCGGAGGACAGGAGCAGTGTGTCTGTCCTAAAACACAGTCTCTGGCTGCATTCTTCTGAATGTGAGGAATCTTTTGTGAGGAGGCCTGTTGAGACACACAGCTGTCCCGCCAAAGGGCTCATCCCTTCCTGCGGTGGCCAGCCAGGTGTTTTTGCAGAAGCCCACGCCGGAAGCTGTGACAGCAATACCTGTCATCTCCTGTCTGCTCCCCAGCGGCTGGTATTCAGAGGAACGCTGTCCTCTGTACACAGAGGCGTGCGTCGTTAGCTGTGGATAGAACGTGAACATATCTAACATTTTATCACAATTACTTTCGCCTGCTGGAGTAAAGAACTTCTTACAATTGTGAGAGGTTCTGGAGTTTAAATCTACCTGGGGATTACACCTCCTCAGTCCTTTAGTCCTAATCCAAATTTTTATATTTTTTTTTACAGTGGTTATTCAGTGGTGAGTAAAAATGCCTTCTGCACATGCTCAGAGGCATGCATTCTAGTTATAACAAGCTTTTTGTTGTTCAGTCACACAGTCTAGTCCGACTCATTGCGACCCTATGGACCACGTCACACCTGGCCCTCCTGTCTTCTATAACAAGCTAGTTTGCAATTAATTATTAAAACCAGATATCAGATAGTCAAATGAGGCATTTGACAAAGTAATAGCTCTGCTCAGTCAGACCTTTATTAGGTATCACGAAGGCTGATGAAGAGCGATGTTAAAAATGAACTAAACAAAATAAATGTATTGTACAGTGCACTTAAAATGCAAATTAAAAACACAGGACTTGAATTTAGCCTCTAGATAGAAACCCCTGGACTGAATAGTCTTCAGTGTACATTAAAGAATACAAATAAATATCCACAGGTTGAGGACATAAGAGCACAATCACAATAAACAGGATCAAATGCGTTTTGGCCCAATGGTCACTAGTACATAGATACACATACACAGCACCAGGGGTCATTTCCTGTGGGAGCGCACGGGAGTGGAGCTCCGGCAGTAAGGAGCTCAGGGGGCAGGCACATGCAACAAGCCCTGCCCCCTGCTCCCAGCAGCCCTCAGTCAGGCCACGAGGAGCAAGAAGCAGCCAGGTAAGTTGCAGCGTAGGTGCATCTTCTTCGAGACTCACACACACACGCGTCCTCCTCTGCGAGGGCAGATCTGTGCGTTCCCCCCCCCCATAGTTAGCAATCCAAAACAGTCCAGTGGCACCTTTAAGACCAAGTTTTGTTCATGTACAAGCTCTCCCTCCTCTGCGAGGGCAGATCTGCACGGTCCCCCCCCAATAGCTAGCAATCCAAAACAGTCCAGTGGAGCCTGAGCGGTGGGTGTTGCCTTCTGACACACTTCCGGTGATGTCAGGGGTGTGGCGTATGCAAATAAGTTATGCTAATAAGTTATTCTAATGAGCTCCTGCACCTCTTTTTCTACGAAATGACCCCTGCACACCAGAATTGTTGGTATAAATAAGCCAAAACTGGTGTTGAATTATCCTTGCACATTTTATACTCTGTGGCCAGTGGTGCCTTTGTTAGGGTCATGGGTCTTGTTCCACGATTTCCATGCTCACACATAAAAATGTAGAGTTGTAAATTATATCTAATGTTGGCAGTTCATGCCCTCGTGGTGTGCATGTGTACATCAACCAGCAATCTGACCGAATACCCAGTCAGACTAAAGTGTCCGTCTAGTCCAGCACTGTGCTTCCAGCAGTAGCCAGCCAGATGCCAGTAGGAAACTTAAATGCCGGGTGAGAAGGAGACAAGTTTCTCCCCAGAAACTGGTATTCATGGATAAACTGCCTCTGAACCTGGAGGTTCATGTAGCTCTAGGAGGCATTGCCAGATCCCGTCCCCTGCAAATTTGACCACGCTGCTTCCAAAGCCTAGTGGCCGTCACTGCATCTCATAGTGGTCAGTTCCTTAAGTCCTGCCTTGTGTGAAAAAAATGCTTTTGTTTCCATCTCTCCTGAGTCACCTGCCGTACACCAGCTTCATCAGGTGACCTGTTTGTCCTTTGAGGAATGCTCTTTTCCTGGCTTCCTGATTTCTTGGACGTTCAGTTGCTGCTTTTCTTATGTTTCAGCTCCAAAGAAACTCAAGGGCAACAGGAGAAGCTGAAAGAGGAGCATCGTCGCAGAGCCAAGGTCTGGGCTTAGAACAGGGAAAGCCGTTCCAAGAAATGGAACTGGTGCCTGGGAGCTAGTGAGTTACTGTCATCGAGCTCACAGTATCTTGCACGTGTGGTTCCCAGCTGGCCTCCTTTCCAGGCAGCTAAAAGGGGGTTACTTGTCTAGCTTTAGGAGCCAAACTCTGTTCTGGGTCTTAGTTATTCAGGGGAGACTCCTGCAGTTTGTCTACTTCATATTTGGTACTCAGGACAGCCGTGTGCGTGTTTTCCTACTCCTAAGCTGATAGCCGTCTCTGACATTGTGTGGCAATGAATATAATTCAGTTAATTATCCCTTGTCTGGAACGTACTTACGTTCTTCTCTCCTGAACCTACGAATTAATACTGCTCAATGACCCTGAGTTCTAGAATGCTTGAGAGGAGAGGAGATTGGATTTATAACCCGCCCTTCACTACCCGAAGGAGTCTCAGAGCAGCTCACAATCTCCTTTCCCTCCCCCTCCCCACGACAGACACCCTGTGAGGTAGGTGGGGCTGAGAGAGCTCTTCTGAGAACTGCCCTTGAGAGAACAGCTCTGGGAGAAGTTGTGACTGACCCATGGTCACACCAGCAGCAGCATGTGGAGGAGTGGGGAATCAAACCCGGTTCTCCCAGTCGGAGTCCGCTGCTCTTAACCGCTATGCCAAACTGGCTTTCAGAGTGGAGAGATGGTAGCTCTTCATCGTGCCTGTGTAAAACTCTGCTGTGCCTTCCGTCCCTACATCCACCCTCTGCAAATTAAAAAAACAACAACCCTGTTCTTGTCGAGAAGGTGCTTCTACCTTTTTCTTGTGTTTGTTGATCATGCATGTAGCTGTCTCAGAGCCGGTATTGTCTACTCAGACTGGCAGCAGCTCTCCAGGATCTCAGGCTGAGTCTTTCACATCACCTGCTACTGATCCTTTTGTACGCCTTTCCCAGATCCCTAACATTTGTTTCTCCATTGTCTCCTCCTCCTCCAGTGAGGACCCCTGGGAAGGCAGTCATTGCTTCGCCCTCATCTCTTCATCTTCTCCTCAAGCCTGTGACTCTGGCTCAGGGTCCCCCAATGAGCCTCACGGCTGAGTCCGACATACCTGAGGGACCGCCTTTCCCCATATAGGCCCCAAAGAGCACTTCGGTCGGGGTCACAGCACCGTTTAGTGACCCCGGGCCCAAAAGAGGCTAGGCTAGCTACCACAAGGGCCAGGTCCTTTTCGGTGGCGGCCCCTATCTGGTGGAATGAGCTCCCAGAGGAGATCAGGGCTCTGCGGGACCTTTTACAGTTCCGCAGAGCCTGTAAGACGGAGCTCTTCCGCCAGGCTTTTGAATAGGGGCCGCCGCCGCCACTACCACCACCGCATATATGCGGAAGCAGGACTGTCAGGGTAGGCCTATGAGAAATTGGAACAACATGGCTTAGGCCGCCCCTCTCCCTTCTGATTTCAATCTCGGACCTCTTCCTGTCATGTAATGGAGAAAGTGTAAGTTTAGTCCTCCATGTATCTTGTGAGTTGGGAACTGTTTAATTTATGTTGTTTTTAATGTATTTGGTTTTATAGCACTTGTGCCTTGTAAGCCGCCCTGAGCCTGCATGCGGGGAGGGCGGGATAGAAATGGAAATTAAATAAATAAAGTGGGGATTTGGAGCCTCCGTGTGTCTGATTGCAGCCCAGCACTGCACGACACTGATTCTCCATTCTGTCGCCCTTCAAGGGATGGTGTGTCTAGAACTGCAGGCTTCATGAATTTGGCTGAGTTACAAGCTTGTCCACACACACACACGGGCAGCAAACTGAATCCCATTGGGGAAGGATGCACTGCACCATTTCACTTTGTAATCGGGGGACAACATTTTTTATTGGTCCCCTATGTTCTAAGCTCTACAGATAGGGAACCAGCACACTATGAGCTAGCTGGGCTAGGGCTGAGGATGCTTGTTATTGTGTCACGGCACTCCCCACCTGCCATCTAAAGCGGTACAGTCCATCTTAAAGTGGTACAGTCCACTAAGGTTTCTACTCCCCCAATTTAGTACATGAGTATACCAGGCTATAGACCAGGGGTGGCCAAACTGTGGCTCAGGAGCCACATGCAGCTCTTTGACACATACCCAGCGGGGCGGCTGGGGAAGTGAAGGGGAGACATGCCTCCCCGATTGGTCTTCTTTTTCCCAGCCAGCGTTCCTCTCCCTGGGTAGGCTTGAGGTGGTGGTGATGGGAGCAGAAAAAGAAAGCAACTTTAGTTTTTAATGTGTTCTCAAAAGTCCCCCCCCCAGCTCGGAGAAGGCATTTGTCTCTTTAAATCCCTTCTCCAAGCCAGCTGGCAGGGGGGCGGAGGCTTGGAGGACACATTTAAAGTTAAACTTGCTTTCTTTCCACCTCTCCTTCCCTCCCCATCTATTTGCTTTCTTTGTTTTTTCCCTCTGTCTCTCTTTCCCCCTTCCTTCCTCTCTCCCCATCTATTTGCTTTCTTTCCACCTTTCTTTCTCTTTTTCTCTCTTTCTCCCTTTCTTCTTCTCTCCCTTCCTTCCCCCTCCCTCCCCCATCTATTTGCTTTCTTTCCACCTTTCTTTCTCTTTTTCTCTCTTTCTCCTTTTCTTCCTTCCTTTCTCTGCCTTCCTTCCTTCCTTTCTCTCCATCTATTTGCTTTTTTTGTTTCTCTCTCTTTCCCCTTTCTTCCTCCCTCCTCCATCTATTTGCTTTCTTTCAACCTTTCTTTCTCTTTTTTTCTCTCTCTTTCTTCCTTTCCTTCCTTCCTTTCTCTCTCTCCCTTCCTTCCTTCCTTTTCCCGTCCTTCCCCATTTATTTGCTTTCTTTGCTTTCTTTGTTTCTCTCTCTCTCTCTCTCTCTCTCTCTCTCTCTCTCTCTCTCTCTCTCTCTCTTTTAGACAAATATTATTAGTAAACAAATAAATATCATTATCAATATCTGTTTTTGCCCCTTTTGTCTCATTTAATGTTAATAAAAAGCAAATTTGCATTTTTTTTCTATGAAAACGTGTGTGTAATATTTGTCCATGTCTGGCGGCTCTCAGACATCTAACATTTATGTTGTCGAAGGCTTTCACAGCCGGAGTTCATTAGTTGCTGTAGATTTTCCGGGTTTTGTGGCCGTGGTCTTGGCATTGTAGAACCTGACGTTTCGCCAGTAACTGTGACTGGCATCCTCAATGTGTTATACCTCTGAGGGTGCCAGTCACAGTTACCAGTGAAACGTCAGGTTCTAAAGTGCCACGACCACGGCCACAAAACCTGGAAAATCTACAGCGACTAATCTGACATTTATTCCATGCAGCTCTTACATTAAGCAAGTTTGGCCACCCCCCCTATAGACTTAACCGCATGATGCCGGACGGCGTTTTCAGTTCCATTCCCCTACTCCTAAAGCTTGTCTCTCCTCCCCTCCCTGTGCTTTTAAAGCTTTTGAACCGGAAATTGCGAGAGGCGGAGCAGCAGCGCCAGCGCCAAGAGGAACTGGAGCGCCTTCGCAAAGAGGAGAGCCAGGAGTGGCTCCGGCGCCTCTATTCCATCCAAGAGGAGGTGCTCAGGATCAATCAACAGATCGGCGTCCATAACAGGCATAAGGACCTGCCCGGGGTTGACTTCTCGGCGTACAGCAACCGCAGCAATCAGATCTGCGGGGAAGTGTCCGGGCTCGTCCGCGTGGCCAGCGAGGTAAAGCGGCTTCAGAAGCACCTTCAAAACGGATGGGGTAGAACAGACAGCTTAGTTAATCTTGGCCAGCTCTTTGCAGCGGCAGAATTCTCTAAGGTGGCAATTGACACAGCCGTTGCCAGGTGGGCCAGACTAGAGTCTGAATTGAAGGGCCCAGTCTTTGTCCCTTTCTCCTCGCCTCCTGCCCCACCCCCCCTTGCTAGTGTAACCACAACTGGCCGGAGTCGAGTGATTCCATAGAGTCAAGGAGGGAGGATACAGGAAAATGCCCAAGCAAAGCCTGGTTCTCACTGAGTTGGCAAAGCTTGCGTCTGTACTAGCCCAGCCTTCTCTCTGGCATCTGTGTTTCCATATGGAGGAACATTTAAATTTGTGGGTGTGACCTGCAGTCTGAAGTAGTACAGCCTTGTCCCAGGTTTACCAGGAATGATGTATCATAACATAGTTGCAAGAGATTCTCTGAAAGGACGTTCCTAGGGCAAAGTGCTTGTATAATGCATTATAATGCATTATGATACATCGGTGAAAATTAATGAAATTGTTGACACGTACCTGTTGAAATAACAGACCAAGAGTCGCTGCTTTCATCCACGTTCGGAAGAATAATAGTATCGAAACGATAGAACATTCCGGAGATCATCGTCAATGTTACCATTTTCAACTGCCTTTGTGCATTTATATATGCAGATTTTTTGGTACACATTTTTGTATAAATGTTGTGATCATTATTTAAATATTTTCTAGTGCAGTTACCTCACACTTTCTTCTTTTTCCGGTCTCTTCTGTGAGTGTGACCGTCATTTTTGAGCCATTACCAGGAACGATGCCTTTGTCCTGATTTGGTTTCCGCACTTCCTGAAGCTGCTTGGACAATGACATTTTTGCACTGGGATGGTTGTCTTGGTAGGCATGCCAGATAACAGGCAGCGTACTTTTTTGTTTTTTTAATTATTTACTGCATAAATAGCTTTCTCCCTTCGTGCAAGTGGCTAGTCTTTGGATTTTGTGCTCACAAAATAATAGGTTACAGGCTTTGAAGAGGGACAGAAATGTTGTCGACTCTGTGCTTCCCGCCAACCACACCAGCTAAGCCGTGGTGCACAATGTCAGCTTGGAGCAGGCATCTGCTGTGGAGTTTACCTGGAGGCCTATCTCTGAGCCCAAAGAGCTGACTCCCTTCCTGCTTCCTGCATGTCCGGCTGCTGACTCTTTTGGATGCCCTGTCACTACCTCAAGCAACCACCAATGTACACCAATGTACACTGCTGAAGCCTGGGGCTTGTAGACTGAAGGGTGCAAAAGAGGGAAAACTAGCGAAGTAAATGTTGGAACTCCACCACTAAGTGATCCCCTAGTGATCTCCTGGTTTCATCTTGTCTCCCCTTCCTGGTTCCTGACAGAGAGGCTTTCCTGCTCAAGTGGACATGGGCTCTGCTGAACAGGCACTCCTGGAAATGCAAGGGTTAATTGCCAGTATGCAGCAGGAGATTGGCCTGGCCATGGAAGAGAAAAGGAGGCGTGAGGAGGAGGCGGCAGCAGCGGCAGCAGCCAGGGAGAGGCAGAAGGAGTTGCAGAAGCAGGAGCTTGCAAAAGCTCAGGTCCCAAGTCCCACGAAGCCTGTTGGAGGGAAGTCCCCGGACACTGGTGGGTTCAGTCATCCCTTCTTTATCGCTCATTTGTCAGCCTTTTACTTAGTGAATAAATATGGGTTGTTGTGCCATCTATCCTGTGTTGTCTGCTCGTCTCCCGTTGTCATTTTGATGCATCAGTGGATGTGGTCCTGGCACTTAAATGATTCTGGTGTCTTTTTGTACTGCCAAAGGCAGTTTATGAACAGCTTGAAAACCCTACGGTAAAAACTAGAACTAGATAGAACATCAGACAGCGATATATTTCGAAACAGTGCTTGAAGACATTACAGCTCTCAGCCAAATGCTGCTCTAAACAGGAAGTTCTTAACAGAAGTTAGAAGTGGTGATGCCTTTCTTACCTTTGTGGTCAAGAAGCCAGCTCCGAGGCTGCTCTGGGGGACTCTCACTTGACTAAACAGGACTCACTTGCTTCTGACTCACCTAGAAGACCAGGAAGGGTTGCACTGCTAAACGTGTCCCAAGACTTCAGGTTCCTTTGTTGAAAGCTGGTAGCCCAAGACCTGTTCTCAAATCCCCCAAATGATTGAATATAAAATACTTTTGAAGATGCATTCTTAACTGTTTAACCCATTTGGCCTGGAGAAGTGTAGCTCTTCTTGAGTTATCTGTTGTACAGTGGAGCTAAATTGGAGCTGTGTTAGTTTCTGAACCAACATTCTGGTTAACAGCACAAGCGCAACATATTATGACTGGCACGGAGCCTTCATTTTAAAAACTTGCACCACTATCTAGTCTTGATAGCCCTGGAGGAAAAACTTAGAGCTCTGGTGTCTGATGAAAGCTTCCAAGCCTCTCCATCCCTGCCCTCAGTTATGCTTTGTCGCTGCCAGATCTCACATTCATTCGAACTCTGATCCTTGAAAACAAGCTGAGTTGTACAAGTGTATTCATATCACTTCTGTGTATCAAAAGTAGGGCTGGGCACAAACTGGGAAAATGTGGTTCGGTTTGTGGTGTGCCCGGTTCGTGAACCATGAATTGTCACAAGACTTTTAGCTGCCAGACGAACCGGTTCGGTTCGTGATGTGGTAGAATGCCCCCCCCCGGAAAGTGTAAAGTGCTTTCTGAGGTAATGACTGCCTGTCATTTCCTCAGTAAGCACTTTCCTGGGAGCACCTTCTTGGGGGGAGGGGCGTAACCCAGACCCCATAAATCCAACTCTCACCAAGCTTGGAGGGTAGGTAGAAGAGAGTCGGCCAGAGATCCCCGGCAAATTTGGTGTCCCTAGCTTGCACGGGATCCATTGTGTACACAGATAAACCTCCTGAAACGGCGCCTGTCAAAATGACCACCAATACCCTTCAGGAAACGGAATTTGCTTCAGCTTTGCAGAAACCTTTAGGTGGCTTCCAAAATCTGTTATGGCCGTTTGCTTTTGGTTTGTAGTCTTCTAAAACTTCCCAGGGCATGTATTGGGGTGCCTAATGCTCGCATCTTTATTTCCCCATGGCCTCTCTTAGGGCTTCAGGTGAAAGCTGCAGAGAAAACACTGCAGTGGTACCATCAGTTGCAGAAAGAGTATGACCAGTGCGTTGCTTCCTTCAGCGGGCTGGCCGACAGCCAGGATAGCCAGGTAAGGATTCACTGCGGCCAAACGTGGACCTCTCCCTCTAGAATTTGGAGGAGCTTGTGTCCAATATCCTCCTAAGTACAGAAAAATAAACTACCATGGGATTTGTTGACCTCATAGCCTCTACCTCTCTTTTTAATCTTAGTAAGTGGTTTATTTTATTTATTTGTCAGAGTTATACCCCGCCCTCCCGGCCAAGGCCAGCTCAGGGCGGCTTACACAGAGCAAAACACATGAATATTAAAGCAATTTTAAAACCCTCTAATATAATAAAGTGCTAATAATCAAATACATAATTCATTGCATTTGAGTTCTTCTTGCCGTACAGTTGTTTCTCAAGGCAGCTTATATTAATCAAGCAACGGTTGCCCTCAGCCTTACAAACTAAAAAGGGAAGACATATCAAGACCAAGACCTTGAAAGGACAAGACCGTTCAGTCTAACAATATCAGAAAGAAGCAATGTTGGATCAGGCCAATGGCCCATCCAGTCCATCACTCTGTGTCACACAGTGGCCAAAAATACCAGGTGCCAGCAGGAGGTCCAGCAGTGGGGCCACTGTTGTGAGCCTTTCCTTCTCAGCTGGAGTTTGGCTTGCTTGCTGGCTGAGGAATTCTCACAGAAGTAACAGGCTGAAGAACTCTGAATTGTGCCTTATAAGCTTTTATTAATTGGTGATGCTCTTGTGTCTTTCTTTAAACAGTGAAATTACTGGTCATAAAGACAATATAGCTTAAACGGCCATGTTCAATGTAACTATAGCATTTTAGACTAACACTGATACAAGCTGTTGTAATGACCTCCTATACTTGGGTTTTTAGTGGTTTTCTTTCCTTTCTCCCTTAGTTGTAATTTCCCCCTCCCATTTGAATGCAATAAAAAATCCCCTTCGGGGGGCCAAAAAAAGAAAGAAAAGAAGAAGTAACATTTTGGGACGATTCACAGGAGTGTGTTTGGAGCCTGTTTTTAATCCACACGCTACCTCCGGTCCTGCATAAAATGTCCATATAAGGAGGCAATCTCTTGAGTGCTCCACCACAGGCACAGAGCGTGATTTGTGACACTATAGTTGCTTTCCAAAACTTACTTGAGGGTGGCGTGATAAATTAAGCTCTCTGATAACTAAAAACCCAAGAAAGGAGATCATCTAGTCAGCTTAACCAAACATCAAGTCTTAATCACGTTAATCCCATTATAAACTGAGTCAAATACTGTATTAACTTTTTTTCAAATCTTAAATTTAACTGTCATTAGGAAATACCCCAAAGCATCTCATTTCAAAATTTTTCAAAGGCACCATTCAGAGTCCTTCAGCCTTCACTTCTCCTTGCCCAGTCTCTTCCGCAATTTATAAGGACTTTTAGGGGCTGCTGCCCCTTTCTCTGAAAGAGTCCTCTCCGGAACATCCCGAGTCCAGCTCACCACTGGACTTACTGTCCATTCCTTCTTTTTCTTCCTCCTCTGGCTCTCCCATCTGGACTCTCAAAAATTCCTGTGCTTTCTGCACAGAGTTAATCTTTTCCTTTTTATCCTTGATTTTGAAGATCACGCCTTCTGGTGTTAGCCATCTGTATCCAATTGCATTTGTCTGGAGAAAAAGAATTAAATCTTTGTACTTCTTTCTCCTTTGTCTTATTTCAAATGGAATGTCTTTTAGGATTCTGATAGCATTATCTCCAACTTTCAAAGGAGCTCCAGATGCCGCTTTCATCCTGCCAAAAATGTAGTTAGTCTTTAAGGTGCCACTGGACTCGTGCTCTTTTCTACTGCTACAGACAGACTGACACGGCTGTCCATCTTGATAAGTCCCAGTTAAGATAATGTTAGATACTATTGATGTTGGAGATAGATCAAGGTGGGTAGCTGTGTTAGTCTGTCCGTAGCAACAGAAAAGAGCAAGAGTCCGCACAGTGGCACTTCAAAAACTAACAAAATTGACTTCCGGTCTATGGATTGGCGATGGCAGTCGCTCTCCCTTGGGGAGAGCTTGGGGAGGCGATTAGCACACCATCGGCATGGAGGGGTGCCACCTCAAGTGGCACTCCCACAGAGTCTTTGTGAAAAGCTCCAGGCCAGAGAGCTTTGAGGGTTAGCCTCTTCCACGGCTTGCTGCCGGAGAATCAAGGCTTCCCTCCGCTCTGAAGGTCCTACTGATGAGTGGCCTTAGGGCACAAGCTAACCTGACCGGGACAAGCGGGGGAGACTGAGCAGAACAACGATTGACGTGAGCGAGATCAGGAATGTGACCAACAATGAACGTGAGTTCTAAGTAAATGAACTTTGATAAACAGCACCCCCCCCCCGGGAAAAGCGGAGTGCAAAGAGGGATGCCTCTGAAGCACAAGGACAGATAAACGCAGCGAAGGGGGAGTGGGAGGAAATAGACAGCGTGTGTATTTTGAGAGACTTACTTGAGTGCAAACAGCGAATTGACGAGTGCTTCGAGCCCGGGAGAAGTGGTTTGAAAGTGTAAACAAAGTTGAAAAATGGCGGCATCATGAGGAAAGTTTAAAGCAAAGCCTCAGAGTCCAAGGCTGGAAGAGGGAGCTGACGTCATGAAGCTGTTAGTGGATATGCTCAAGCCAGTGATGGATCAGCTCAGTGGTATTAACCAGCAACTGACCTTGTTAAATCAAAACTTCGCTTCACAACAGTGACAGCTGGCAGAAATGGAAAAAAAAGTGGAGCTGGTGGCTGAGAAAGTTACAGAGATAGACACCTCAAGCAAGAAGATGAAGAAAAGAATGGGTGAAGTGGAAACGAAACAAAATCTTCAAAAAAATCGTTTGTTGCAGCTGCAAATGGAAAAGGCTAATATGATTCTCAGGTTCCAGGGGGTTCCTGAGACAGAAAAAGAAGATTTGAAAAAGACTCTGGGTGAGATTATCGCTCCAGTGACAGGCTTGCCAGCGGAGGAAATAATAAAAGACATGAAGACAGTTTATAGGGCTTACTCCAATTATATTTAAAAAATAGCCTGCCTGGAGAGATTGTGGTGAGATTTGTAAGAAGACAGACCAGAGATGCTATATTAAAGGCAACTTCAGCAACTCCACTGAAATTTGGGAATACAATTATCAAGACTTTAAAAGACATTCCATTTGAAATTCGTCAGAAGAGAAAGAGCTACAAGGAGTTAATTACTTTTCTTCAAACAAACAGTATACTACAGGTGGGCGATTCCTAAAGGTGTCATCTTTAAAATCAACGATAGAAGGGAGAAGATAGACTCCATCTTCAAAGTCAAAGAATTCTTGAGATGTCAGCTGGGATCGGGGGAAGACTCTAAAGAGGAAGAAACTAAGTCAAGTGACTCAGCTGCCTCGGGAACAGATGAGGACTCTGCTGCAGAAGCAGGTGCTGTATATGATTTTATATGAAAACTGTATATGATTTTATAGACAGAAAGCCGAAGTAAGGGCAGAAGGACTCTGATAGATGGCCCTTTGAAACAAAGAAGATGCTCAGAAAGTTCTCTCATAATAACTAATTTACTAATACAGAACAATGTGGAAAACAAGAACTCTACAAGTATATTGTTTTACTATTTTAATACTAACAAGTTTAACATAAAGGGGGTCTCCCACTCTTGGGTTTTTAGTTAGTGTGGGTATCTTTTCTTTATCCATAGTTGTAGTTCTCCTTCCAATATTTTTCTTTGTTGTACAAATAACAAAGTCATATTGAAAAAATAAAAATACCCCTCCGGGGGTTTCAAAACAAAAACAAAATCTAACAAAATTTGTGGTAGGGGAGGAGCTTTCATGAGTCACTGCTCACTCCTTCAGGGGGAAACAGTGTATGAACTGATAAAGAGCCGGGAAACACTGTGTACAAAAAATGTTACTGCTATCAGTTGTAAATGAACAATCAATAAAATATTGAAAATTTACTGAAAATAGTGTAGGTATTATTTGTTAAATTAAACATATAAATCACTATCAATCTTGTGAGTTATAGAAAAATTACATAAAAATGATTACACCAAAGAATATCGCAGAATTCTAAATCAATGCAGACATATATAACAGGATTTTAAAAAATAATTTCCCAGTAGATCATAGGGTCGTAGGTTGTTGTAGCTACTCATTGAACCAGCAGCTTTAATGTTCCAATGAGAGTAGCTTTCTGATGAGCCGCGCTGATGAGCAGAAACCAGCTTGGCAATAAACTGTGCTGGTGAGCTGTGCTGACGAGAAGCCTAGGTCTGATCTTGTTTATGTCCTCATTAGAGCTGTTTATGTCCTCATCAGAGCCGTATCACCTTCAGCACATCAAATATACAATATTCTTAAAGCTGGAACCTATCCTGAACCATACTTACGGGAAACACGGCAAGGTTGAGTAAAACATGGAAAATCACCGTGTAACAACACAAACAAAGCACACAATTCTGATATACTACTATAGCTTAATTAATTAATTAAATCATATGCTTTCTGCATCGTCACCTGTATGTGGATCTAAGGTGTATACACGCACATTCTACTTTAAGTAGCATGATGTATTGCCCTGAAGCACTTAAGGTACAGAGACTTCTGAATGACTTCTGCTCTGACATCACTGAGAAGGTGGCCGGGTTTCTCCACTCTGTTTTAAAGCAGTGCCAAAGGATCCCAGAGACATAGTATTTTTACAGGTGTGTTTTAAGCAGCTCTTAAATTGTATAATCTTTTATTGACAATTTATGCTAATAAAGGCTAACTTGAACTTGAAATCATATACTTATAATATGCAGTAAAGACCCCCTAATGTGATCTGATTATTATAGTGCACTAACAACAATGATATCAAATATACAAATACGTGCAACAATATTCAATCTTAAAGGAATGTCCAAAGTTACAGAGACGAATATGCAGACAAGGTTCGATGTTGTGGCTGTCTTACTTTCAAAAAAGAGACAAACCAAGTTTAATTCTGGGTAGAAGCTTTGGTGTACATGCACACTTCTTCAGATACATTGAAACACATATCTTCAGACACATTGAAACCCGAAATGTTTGCCTCCTCTAAATTGGCAAGTACTTTGGGAGCCTGCAGCACGGTGCCAAGTGTGATCCACTTTCCCCCTCTCCCCACAAGGGTTTTGATAAATCAGTGGGACAGGTTGTAATTTCATGGTAAAAAAAAAGGTTTTTTTCCCCAGAGGAAATCTTGTGCCCCTTGAAGTGGTGCTTCTTGCGGCCAGAAACAGACCCCGCAGAAAATTCATCATGGTCGTCATTGTTTTTTCAGGTGAAAAGAATCAGAATGGATTTGCAGAAGGCAGCCACCATCCCAGTCAGTCAGATTTCGACCAGAGCAGGTGAGCACTGAATTTTCACTTGCACTACGGAAGCCTCTTCAAACCCTCTGCCGAGTGCCGAAGAATAGATTCTTGTGAACTATGGTGCTGGAGAAGACTCTTGAGAGTCCCTTGGACTGCAAGAAGATCAAATCAGTCCTAAATCCTAAAAGAAATCAACCCTGACTGTCCCCTGGAAGGCCAGATAATGAAACTGAAGCTCAAATACTTTGGCCACCCAATGAGAAGGGAGCCCTCACTGGAGAAGACCCTGATGCTGGGAAAGATTGAAGGTCAAAGAAGACGGGGACGGCAAAGGATGAGATGGTTAGACAGTGTCATAGATGCAACGAACATGAAGTTGAGCCAACTTCAGAGGACGGCGGAAGACAGGAGGGCCTGGCGTGATCTGGTCCATGGGGTTGCGAAGAGTTGGACTTGACTGTGCGACTGAACAACAAAATTGTGGTCCTGCCATCCGTGTCGGATTAACGTAATATTGCCTCAGTCCAGTTTCTCCCTTGAATATCATGCATTCCCCCTCAATATTCTGTGCTTGTCTCCACAGGTTCTCAGCTGAGAGAGATATTTGATAAGATCAATAACCTCCTTTCAGGAAAGTCTGTACATAGTGGTGGGCGCAACGTAAGCGTCACGCAACATCCTCAAGGGCTGGCATTCGTTTATTTCAAGTTGGCAGAAAAGTTTGTGGTAAGGATCACATCTCTCTTTCTCTCATCACTTCTCTTACCACCCTGATAGAAGAGCGTTTTCTTCACGGAGGATGTTGTATTCCCTAGAATCCAGACACAAAGATTCTCCCATCTATGCTCAGTTAAGTTTCTTTTTCTTTCTCAGCCAGAACAAGAACACCTAATTGATTGGCCGTTCCTCCTCCTTGGAAGCTAGTGGGGTGAAGTTGGCAACCCACCCTGAGAGGGCTGTTTTGATCTCTCCCAGGGGTCCCCAGCCTTCTTGAGTCTGTGGGAATTTTGAGACGGGGTGGTGAGCACCACTCCAAAATGGCTGCCTCAGAAAGCCGAGCCAAACCCAAAGTGGCTGCTGCAGGAGGTGAAGCCAAGCACGACATCCCCCTCCTCGCTTGGTCAAATAATTGCAGTCAGGGAATAAAAAGAAATACATGAAAGTCCAAGGGGAGGAAGAAAGGGAATAAAAAGAAGGGAAGAAGAAGAGAAGAGATTGGATTCATACCCCGCCCTTCACTACCCAAAGGGAGTCTCAGAGCGGCTTACAAACTACTTACCCTCCCCACAACAGACAACCTATGAGGCAGGTGGGGCTGAGAGAACTCTTGACAGAAACTGCTCTTGAAAGAACAGCTGTGAGAGAACTTGTGACTGAAGAAGAAGAGATTGGATCCATACCCCGCCCTTCACTACCCAAGGGAGTCTCAGAGCGGCTTACAGACTCCTTTCCCTTCCCCTCCCCACAACAGACACCCTGTGAGGTGGGTGGGGCTGAGAGAGCTCCTCAGGAAAGCCTGAAGGGGCAACAGAACCATGCTCTGACTAAGGAAAGTGCAGGTGCTTTCCTGTTCTCCTGGTCCTACAATGGCCGTGGTTGCTACTTCAGAGGGAATCCCTTTCACGTGAGTGAGGTGGTAGAAAACAAGCCTTGCTTTACAATGGCCCCGCCCCCACTTTCTGAAAAGATCAGTTGGTGCCAGGGGAAGTAATGGCTGGTGCCATGGCACGTGGGGGAACGCTGATCTATCCCAACGACACTTTGAGCAAAGCTCTTTTTGTTTTTTATGCACCAGGTAGTTACTTAAGTGTGGGGCCGCGGTGGCTCAGAGATTAAGACGCTGAGCTGCGGACCAGAAGGTCTGTAGTTCGGCAGTTCGAGACCCTAGTGCCGTGCGACGGAGTGAGCTCCCGGCTCTGGCCTCAGCTCCTGCCAACCTAGCAGTTCGAAAGCAGGAAGCTGCAAGTAGATAAATAGGGACCGCTTCGGTGGGAGGGTAACAGCGTTCCATGCGCCTCAGCATTTAGTCATGCCGGCCACATGACCACGGAGAAGTCTTTGGACAGCGCTGGCTCTTTGGCTTGGAAACGGAGATGAGCACCGCCCCCTAGAGTCAGATTTGGCTGGCTTTCGAGCAAGGGAAACCTTTACCTTAGTTACTTAAGTGATGCTTGAGAAGAAATGGAGACTCATTTCAGGTGTGTGATATTTCCTAATTCCCAGAATGTGGCTTTTGGAGATCAAGTGTGTCCCATGGATTCTCTCGTTTCTTCTTGTTCGTTCCCAGTCAGATTTTTTTCTCTCCTGTCCCAAGAGTGCTGTAACCTTAGTTTGTCTACAAAGACTGGAGGCAGCTCTACAGGGTATCACCTACTTGCCTAGTCCTGTTAACTTGCAATGCCGAGGACTGAACCTGGGTACTTCTGCAAGCAAAGCAGAGGCCCTTCCACTGAGCCACAGCCCTTCCCATATGGACAGTAAACCATGGAGGGGGGAGGAGGTAGTGTGATGTAAGCTGTAGTTTGAGCCTTGGGAGATGTGTCTAAATTCTAACTTTGGCTGGAGGGCCTCTGGCTCACTGACCACACAGAAGAGGACTTTAGGACACCCAAGTCCGTAAATATTAGAGCATCCCTCTCATAGGTAAAGGTAAAGGTCTCCCTTGCTCGAAAGCCAGTCGAGTCCGACTCTAGGGTTGCGGTGCTCATCTCCGTTTCAAAGCCGAAGAGCCAGCGCTGTCCGAAGACGTTTCCGCGGTCATGTGGCCGGCATGACTAAACACCAAGGCGCACGGAACGCTGTTACCTTCCCACTGAAGTGGTCCCTATTTATCTGCTTGCAATTTCTTGCTTTCGAACTGCTAGGTTGGCAGGAGCTGGAACTAGAGACGGGAGCTCACTCCGTCTTGCGGCACCCGGGTCTCGAACTGCTGAACTACTGACCTTCCACAGCCTGCAGTTCAGCGTCTTAACCACTTGAGCCACTGCAGCTCCCAGGGGTCCTCTCATAGTGACGGACAAAGTCATTCCTTTGCTTGGCGGCATGTCCGTCTCAGTCTCTGACAGAATTTGTATAGTGCTTTCTATAAAGCCAAAATCTAGAGCCCAAGGAACTGAAAGATGGGTGAAGTTTTCTTACCTGTACTTACTGCAAGCTTACTGATCAGTCCTTAGCAGTTGTTATTACCAGCCTCACATCGCTTTTTGCGAGCCTGCAGGAGTTGAGTCTTCTAAACCTACTGGTCCCTCGGAAGCACGTCTTCCTTGTGTCGGGTGCAGAACTCTTTTGCCGCCCTGGGTTGCCCTTATTGTTGTTGAGCTTAATGAAGGGATTAAGTGGGGTGTCCTTCACCCGAATGTTTTCAGAAACAAGGAGAGGAGGAAGTGGCTTCGCATCACGAGGCGGCTTTCCCAATCGCTGTGGTGGCTTCAGGCATCTGGGAGCTGCACCCCAAGGTCGGAGACCTCATTCTGGCACACCTGCACAAAAAGTGTCCCTACGCTGTCCCATTCTACCCAGCTCTGAAGGAAGGCACTCCCCTGGAGGAATATCAGAGGTAATCACACTGAAATGTCAGTCTGGGAAATCCCTCCTCCTGGGTTATGCAAGACACTTCTACGTGGCCCCCGTTTGGTTATTCCCACCTGCTACGGGAGGGGCCTAAGGTGAGAGGGAAAGGGTCGCTCTACCCTATATCCTCTCCCTGCTCTCTTAACCAGAGCACCCTACAAGAAGCTTGCTGAGCCTAGATCAGGGGTGTCGAACTCATTTGTTATGAGGGCCGGATCTGACATAAATGAGACCTTGTTGGGCCGGGCCGTGTGTGTCATAAAATGAAATGCCAGGTAGTGGAGATATAAATTTCATAAAGGACACAAACACAAAGGGGTTTTTAAAACTTAAAATAAAAACATGCTTAAAACATTAGCACTCTTGCAATATTTTGTTTATTTAACAGTGTCTAATAACTGACACCTCTTGCTCTGAATGATTGCATCCAAATGTCTGTGCTGTTGCAATCTTGAGTATGCTGTTTGGGTGTGTATCTGTAAGCTGCAAACCTATGATGACACAGCAGCAGCAGAACTGGAAGAAGAAGCAGAAGACAGCCAGTTCCACTGCAGGCCTGATAGAAGCCCTCCGGGGGGACCTAATGAGGCCCCCGGGACGCATGTTTGACACCCCTGGCCTAGATGTTCTGTGATTTCTATTACTTCTCCCCACCTTTGATGCATCACCTTAGCATGCTGCTCTATCCCCGCCAGGAGCTATGGCAGCATTACTTCCTGGCATGTGCTCTGGGTCGTCAGTCTGACTAGGCTGGGTCCTAACTTGCAGGGCTCTTTTTGTAGAAAAGGCCCAGCAGGAACTCATTAGCATATCAGGCCACACCCTGGTGTCACCGCTCATTAGCATATTAGGCCACACCCCCATGTTACCAGAAGTGTGCTCATCCAGCCACATCCACCTTTTGCTTCTTATTCTGTTTACCCTGTTTGTTGTCAAAACCTAGGGCTTTTTTTGTAGCAGGAACTCCTTTGCATGTTAGGCCATACACCCCTAACGTAGCCAATCCTAATGAGTTTCTGCTGTTGGGTGTGGCCTATTATGCTAATGAGTTTCTGCTGTTGGGTGTGGCCTATTATGCTAATGAGTTCCTGCTGGGCGTGGCCAACTCGGGAGTTCCGGATTGTATAACCAGGACATTTGTCAAGGGCTATTGAGGAACATTCAAACCGTTAGAGAAATTCAATAGGAGTACTACCACAGACCCAGTTGAAAGAGATACTAATGGATAAATGGTACCCGATTCTAGAAGAACTAGATGTAGACAAGTTTGAATGGGAATCCATAACAGAGACAAAATTTAAGCTACTAGCTTTAGGCTAATGTACCAGTTGGTCAAGAGTTCAGCTACAAAAAGTTACTAAGAACATAGGCAGTCCTCCAGGATTACAATTTAGCTCTTGTAGCTGAAAATACTTCTTTTTCTTGTAACTATAAATACTGTAACATAAGAGTATGTAACCTCCACCACAACGGTGGCATCTTCACAGTTGTGTTCGAGATGCTTACAAGTGTTGATTTCTATACTATTTCCTAACTTTTATTGAATTATTTTGTATGCTGTTTAAATTAAAATTCAAAAAAGAGGAACATTCATCTTAGCGAGACAAATTACACAAGCTTATCTTAGAGCAAACCACGGAAGAAGAGGGCCCAGAAATGAAGAAGGTTGGTGCCCCTTTTACTACAAAGAGTTTAGCTACAAAAAGTTACTAAGAACATAGGCAGTCCTCCAGGATTACAATTTAGCTCTTGTAGCTGAAAATATGTAACCTCCACCACAACGGTGGCTCTGTGTGCCTGTGTTGTTTGCCAGAATGTCATAAATCAGTTGAAACAAAGTTGTTAATGGTTGTGCTGTTTTGCTAATCAGTTGCAACGGGTCAAAGTTTGAAACGATTTAGCAATAAAGCGAGAAAATTAGCTTGTCTTTCGATCCCGTGTTGCTTGGCTTCCTGAGCGGCTAGCAGCGTTTAGAATGCAATACCCAAAGACCTTGCCGTGTCAAAATAACTGTCTGAGTAAACTTTGAAACGACAACCAGGAGAAGCAGAATATGGCTTAAATGAAGAAGTGGTGACAAATTTAAGCAGCGACGACCGCTGCAAGATTTTGCTTTAACTGTCCAAAGTCAGAGCCCTGTACAAAGCACAGCATTCTCCGGGGCAGGTGATGAGATGATCCCACTAAGATTCTGATGCAGTTGGTGACCCTCGTGGTGGACAACCGAGCCGTGGTAGGTGTTCACACGGAGAAGATTCCAACACGAGTGGGTCAGCCTGACCTCTGACCTGTTCAAGCTAGATGCAAGTCGCTGGAGTCTGAGGGAGCACGGTATAATTTATATATTTGAAAACAGCATTGAAAAGCACTTGTTCTGCGATGAAATCTTGATTTCAGAACGAGGCTTACAGAGCCAGAACCTTCTTTGAAAGTAAGCGCTGATCAGAGGGCGCTAACAAACTGGATTGACTATTTACGATATTTGTATTCCAGTGTTTCTATTTGTACATCAGTCATAGAATCATAGAATGCTAGAGGTGGAAGGGACCTTGCAGGTCATCTAATCCAACCCCCTGCACTCTGCAGGAGCGTAGCCGAAAGATATCCCTACAACATACCCGAAAGATGGTCGTCCAGCCTCTGCTTGAAAACGTCCAGCGAAGAAGCATCCACCACCTTCCAAGGCAGTCCGTTCCACTGCTCAACCACTCTTACAGTTAGGAAGTTCCTCCTGATATTTAACCGGTATCAACTCCCTTGTAATTTCCACCCATTAGATCTAGTCTTGCAATCCGGAGCAACACTAGATAGATCCACGTCGCGTCTATAGAAAACAGACATTTGAGGGTCTTGTACTTCAGTTGCGAGCAATAGATATGGTCAGGTAGTTGTACCGAAAATGGCTAGTGGAGAGCTTTTCCTTGGACTCTCCTCTGCAGTCGATTTGGATGTGCCGCTAACCAAATGGCTCTCTTCTGGTACACAGGATGCTGGGTTACCAAGTTAAAGATTCCAAAGTAGAGCCACAGGATAACTTCCTGAAACGAATGTCTGGGATGATCCGCCTGTACGCAGCTATACTTCAGCTTCGGTGGCCTTATGGAAACAGTCAGGGGGTGCGTAGGTCTTCTGGCCATTGTTTATCTGTATGGGAGACACGTTGAAATTGCCCTGCACGCGTTTCTGCCATCCCATCATTTGGGGAGGGGATGCATGCATCCCATTTGGGGCAATGGTGGTGATGGCAGCAGGGGTGGGGGGTGGGGAGGCTTAAGTACGTCTGAAAACCACTTCATCATAGGTCAGACTAAGAACATAAGGTCCAACCCCATTGGAACATACCAGTGGTCCATCTAGTTCAGCATCCTGTCTTGCACAGTTGGTCACCCAGTTCCTCTGGAAGGCCAACAAGAAGGCACGGAGGCTGAGGCCTACCCCTAATGCTGCCTCCTGGCCCTGGTGTTCAGAGGTTGACTGCCTCTGAATGTGGAGGTTCCTTTTAGTCACTGGCACGTAGCCGTCGGTGGGCCACTCCTGCATGAATCTGTCTAACCCCCTTTTAAAGCCATCTCTGCCTGTGGCTTGGTGATTGGTTGTATTTGCTTTGGAGGAGGAGCAGATGCCGTTTAAGTCTCCAGTGGTTTGTAGAATCATACTTAAAACAATGTGTCTTGTTCTTCAGAGTCACCCTCATGGACTGAACCATGCTTGGTGCTGCCTGGCGCAAATGCTGAACATGGAGCCTCTGGCAGATGTGACAGCCACGATTCTGTTTGACTTCTTGGAGGTAGATTCCTATCACCCACTCTTCACCTCCCTTTGAAAAAGGAAACGTTAATGCCTGAGCACACAGACTCATGAGGCTGACCCTTTAAATCCAATTACTGGTCCCTTTCACACTCGTTGACCTTTTTTGTACTCCAGGGGTGGCAAAATTCTTATTGTGTGTACTTTGTCAAAGCAGACTGATGAGGTTCTTTCAGCCTGTGTATTTAATTCTTCTGGTTACCTAAGAGGAAAAAACAAGCAAGCAGCTGGCCTGTTAGGCAACGTTAAACATTTGCCTTGTGGTAGATAGATCTTGCCCTGTTGATTTGTGAGGTCTTCTAGTGGCCAGGGCAAGATCTCTGGTTGCAAATGCCGTTTTTGCCGCATGATATAATCTTATCTTCTGTAAGACTGTTGCTTTTTTGTGTGCCTCCTCTTCCCAGTCCACATGTCCCATATTCCATAACTGCCATCCCTTTTTACCAGCAGAAGTGTGCTTTCAATGTGCCCGCCCATGAAAGCTTTTGCCCAGAATTAAATTTTGTTGGTCTTCAAGGTGCCGCTGGACTTCAACTTTGTTCTGTTGCTTCAGGTCAACATGACTACCCACCTGAAAGTAACTTGGCATGTGGGCCTTGGACTTTCAATAGTAGCACACAATTAAATGCAGAGTTTTATTGCCAGGGGCTTTTGAAGAGTCCTTTTCATTCCTCTGGCTCACTCCGAAAGAAGAAGAAGAGTTGGATTTATACCCGCTCTTCACTCGGAGTCTCAGAATGGCTTGCATTCTCCTTTCCTTCCTCTCTCCACACCAGACACCCTGTGAGGTAGGTGGGGCTGAGAGAGCTCTTGAGAGAACAGCTCTGAAAGAACTTGTAACTGACCCAAGGCCACCCAGCTGGCTGCATGTGGAGGAGTGGAGAATCAAACCCGGTTCTCTAGATTAGAGTTTGCCACTCTTAACCACAACACCAAACTGGCTGTTGTATCTCCCTCTGTTTTGTGTTGTTTTTTTGCTGTGCAGGTCTGTGGGAACGCTCTCATGAAGCAATACCAGGTGCAGTTTTGGAAGATGATGCTCCTTATCAGAGAAGAGTATTTCCCAAGGTACAAGGAGATGAGTTGGTGATCATGCCAGGAGCCTTCTGCTTGTAGGACTGGGACAGGGAGCGCTTCCTCCTTTTCAGATCTGAATGGAGGGACATTTCCTCACTCCCCATCCCCACCTGGGCCTGTAGTGCCAAAGGAAGGTCATGCTTGGGGATTGCAACCGATAGGCTCCGTTTCTGTCTTGAAGATTACGGCAGAATCTTCTGAGTTTGGACTGGGATAGTTTATCCTCCTGTCCATGTCCCACTTGCCTCCCAAAGTAAGCCACAGTAGTGAAACTTCAATATGTGCTGCTGTCGGAGGGCACAGTACACAAATGAAAACGAGACTGAAATGGAGGTGGGTGCTAACTTATTTCACGACCGCTGGTAACAGACGGGTCCTGTGCCATCATGAACAGTACTTGCAGCTGTAGGTTCTCTGGTTTTGTTTTAGAAGTGCCAGGCTAATCCCTGTTTTTCCTGTAAAAAGTTATCTTTGGTGACAAACTGGGCACATTCGTACATATGTTTTGTTTCTGCATGCCATGGGGAGGGGCAAAGACCTTTGCAAGATGCCGAAGACCTCTTATAATTCTGCTTTGCCGCCTTCTAGCTTCTGAGAGCATGAAACATTAGATTTTTTAAAAAATTGACAGCTGCGATGAGGATAAGGATGCTAAACTCTACGGAATTACAGAAACTGAACAGTGCTGATAATACCAGATATCTGCCCTGCCTTTCCTTTCCTTTTCTACTCAAAGGGAAATGATTGGGTCAGCCTCCCTAGGTGGTGCTGTGCCAGAGGCTGTCCTTGCCTGAGGCTAGGGTTCTTTTGATGGTTTGGGGTGGTCAAAGGAAGCTGAGCGAGGCCAAGGTACTGCGGTAACACAAACACATTTTAGTTGCAAAAAAGAAAAGAAAACCAGCTTACGAAAAGAAGGTTTCTCGTGTCCCTTCGGTCTTTGGGGGCATCTTGCAACAACAGGTTCCCAGCAGCTCCAGGTCTCCCATGAAGCCCACTTGCCAGTGTTCCTTCTTCTGTAGTTGGCTTAGGTGCCGCCTCCTAGCATAAGTATCACCTGGCAGGCATGCTGAGTCAGGTTCAGGGTTCCCTCTAAGCTGAGTTAGTGTGAGCTAGCTCGCAGTTCTTTAGCCTCCAGCTCACACATTTTTGTCTCAGCTCAGGGAGGATGGCTCCAGAACAAACTAATTTATGCAGTAGCCCAATCGCTCACTCACAACTTTAATGCCAGCAGCTCACAGAGTAGAATTTTTGCTCACAAGACTCCACAGCTTAGACGGAACATTGGTCAGGTTCTATTGCTTGCACCTGTCGCTCTCTTGTTAGGAAAGCTAAAGTCATGAGAACATCAGAAGAGCCCTGCTGGATCAGACCAGTGGTCCATCTAGTCCAGGCTCCTGTCTCAAGCTGTGGCCAACCAGTTCTTCTGGAGGGCCTACAGCAGAGCAGAGAAGCCAAAGCCTTCCCTAGAACATCAGAAGAGCCCAGCTGGGTCAGACCAGGGGTCCATCTAGTCCAGTCTCCTGCCAACCAGTTCCTCTGGAGGTTCAACAACAGGGCATAGAGGCTGAGGCATTCCTCTGATGTTGCCTCCTGGCTCTGGGATTCAGAGGCTTAGTGCCTCTGAACGTGGAGGTTCCCCTAAGAACGTAAGAGCCCTGTTGGGTCAGAAAAAGAATCCATCTAGACTAGCATCCTGTCTCAGACCGTGGCCAACCAGTTCCTCTGGACAGTCAACAGGGCATAGAGGCCAAGGCCTTCATAAGAACATCAGAAGAGCCCTGCTGGGTCAGACCAGTGCTCCATCTAGTCCAGCCTCCTGTCTCACATGGTGGCCAACCGGTTCCTCTGGAGGGCCAACAACAGAGCATAGAGGCTCCATGTTTACCTCCTAGCTCTTGGGTTGAGAGGCTTAGTGCCTCTGAATGTGGAGGTTCTCCTCAATCACCATGGCTAGTAGCCATTGAAAGACTTCTCCTCCACAAATCTGTCTAATCACCTTTGAAAGCTGTTCATTCCTGTGGTCGTCACTACATTCTCTGGCAGTGAGTTTCCTCTTGTCTGTCCTGAACCTACTGCCTATCAGATTCATTGGATCTCCTCGAGTTCTAGTCTTTTGAGAGAGAGAGAGAGAGAGAGAGAGAGAGAGAGAGAGAGAGAGAGAGAGAGAGAGAGAGAGAGAGAAGATCCTCTTTGTCAACCCTCTCTACCCCATGCATAAGTTTTTAAAACTCTCTCATGTCTCCCCTTGGTCATCTCTTTTCTAAATTGAAAAGTCCCAGCCTCTTCAGCCTTTCCTCCTAGGGAAGGTGCTCCATTCTCCCTCATCATCTTGGTTGCCCTCCCCTGGACTTTCTCCGGCTCTGCAATGTCCGTTTGGGTCCAGGAGGAATAGATTCTGCCGCCAGTTTGGTAGAAACTCGGCCTCCAGGATGCTCTAAGCTCAGATACGGTTACCTGACAACACCATTCCCTGCTCCTCCTCGAGGGGTTCTTCCGCGATGGTGGTGGTTTTGATGAATTGTAGATGGCAGGGCTTTTGGGGTAGAAAAACGCCCAGCAGGAACGCATTAACATAATAGGCCACACCCAGCAGCAGTCTCATTAGCATATTAGGCCACACCCCTGGCAGCGCCGCTTATTAGCATATTAGGCCACAGCCCCATGTTCCCAGAAGTGTGGTCATCCAGCCACACCCACCTTTTGCTGCTTATTCTGTTTACCTTGTTTGTTGTCAAAACCCAGGGGTTTTTTTTTAAGCAGGAACTCCTTTGCATGTTAGGCCACACACCCCTGATGTAGCCAATCCTAATGAGTTCCTGCTGTTGGGTGTGGCCTATTATGTCAATGAGTTCCTGCTGGGCGTGGCCAACTCAGGAGCCAGCCGGAACTCCATTCCTGTGCGTTCCTGCCCAAAAATAGCACTGGTAGCTGGGAAGTTTCCCTTGACTGGAATCGGCACTCTCTCCCATACTCTTAAATATCGGAAGGCAGTCAGTATATTTAGTTATTTTATTTACTTTATTCCCCGCTTTTCTCCCCAGCGGGGACCTAAAGTGGCTTTCATCATTCTCTACTCCTCCCATTTTACCCTCACAACAGTCCTGTGAGGTCGGTTCTGCTGAGAGGGGGTGACTACCAGTACCTCCTCTAAGCTGTGGGGTCTTGTGAGCAAAAATTCTACTTTGTGAGCAACTGGTATTAAAGTTGTTAGCGAACGATTTGGCTACTGCCTAAATTAGTTTGCTCTGGAGCCATCTTTCCTGAGCTAAGACAAAAATATGAGAGCCAGAGGATAAAAAACTGTGCGCTAGCTCACACTAACGGCTTAAGAGGGAACACTGTGACTACTAGTTCAAGATAACCCAGTAAACTTCCAGGGCAAACTGGGCCTTGGAAGCTGGGTCTCCCGGGTCCTGATTCCGTATTCTAGCCCAGGGGGTGCCCAGTGTGGTGCCCGTGGGCACCATCGGCCCACTGAGATCTTTCCTGGCGCCCACCAAGTAGGGAATGGGTGAGGCCAGGTAGGGCTTCTGCCCAGCAAGGCTTCTGATTGAAGCCGTTGGAGATTCGATTGACTGTATAGATTTTTTAAAAAGTTTGGCCAGCGGTTGCCACCTCAGCTCAAAACTACACTGTGTTGCTGAAGTTAAGTTGTGGCAATCGGTTTATGGCTGGCTGCACCTCCTGCGGCAGACATTTTGTTGCTGGGCCCACCAGGCCATGGCAGAATTCCAAATGTGCTCCCCGATTCAAGAAGGTTACCATGCTGGTGCTCTAAATATTTGGAAACAGTCTGCATATTATCTCACCCCACCCCACCCCACCCCCACCTTCTCATCTCTACATTCAGTGTCCTTTTCCTCGTAGGGTTTGTTCCCAAGATCCTTTTGCATCCTCATTTCCACATTTTGAATCTTTTCCAACTTGTACACAACATCCTCCGAGTTGTAGTGCCCGGAACTGGGTTACGGCCCTTGAGATTTTAAATCCAGGTCTTTGAGTGGAGAAGTACAGCTCGTTCCTAAACGTTGGGTACCTTGGGTCTGCTAATATACCCTGAAGTAACCTGGGCCTCTTTTGCTGCAGCGTCTCCTCCTTGGGGGAGCTGCGGTGGCTCAAGTGGTTAAGACGCTGAACTGCAGGCTGTGGAAGGTCAGGAGTTCAGGAGTTCAAAACCCGGGTGCTGCAAGACGGGGTGAGCTCCTGTCTCTAGTTCCAGCTCCTGCCAACCTAGCAGTTTGAAAGCAAGAAATTGCAAGTAGATAAATAGGAACCACTTCGGTGGGAAGGTAACAGCGTCCCGTGCGCCTTGGTGTTTAGTCATGCCGGCCACATGACCACGGAAACGTCTTCGGACAGCGCTGGCTCTTCGGCTTTGAAACAGAGATGAGCACCGCAACCCTAGAGTCGGATTCGACTGGCTTTCGAGCAAGGGAACCTTTACCTTTTACCTCCTCCTTGGCTTCAGTATTGTCCAAGTTGTCCGCTGTAACGTTTTAAATCCTTGCCGGCAGACGTGGTTGTTGGCTGTAGCACATGTCTCTCCTTCTCTGCAGAATTGAAGCAATTACTAGTTCTGGAGAAATGGGCTCCTTAATGAGATTCAAGCAGTTCCTGGAGGTAAGGTGCGCCCCCCCCACTCACTCCCCTTTAAGGTGGACGTAAATATTTTCTGTGCACTGCTTCTCACCTAGTTGAATGGTAGACATTTTCAGGGTCAGCCACTGCAGAGTCTGTTCCCTTGCAAAAAAAAAGAGATCTTTTTGACCCATTTGTAATGTTTTTAAACAATTATGCATTCGCCGTGAAGGAGCAGGTACCCAGATACAGTGCTAGTCTGTAAAACAGATCTTCCCCTATATTATCCGCTAGGATAATCCCACCCCCAAGCCTCCTCTGCCCAGTCAGCTGCAAAAACTTCTTCACGCTCACTGCATTGCAAAACGGTATGGCAGGGGTCCCCAACATGGTGTTTTTAGAAAATGGGCAAGGTCAGGTGGTACTTCTGCCCAGCCAGGCTTCTCATTGGCCATTGGAGATTTGATTGGCTGTGTCGATTTTAAAAAAAAATTATTTAGATTTTTTACAGTACAAAAAAATAAGAAAAGGGGAAAAAACACCAAGATACATATATCATAGCCCAGTCAGCTGCAAAAACTTGTTCACGCTCACTGCATTGCACAACGGTATGGCAGGTGTTTTTAGAAAATGGGCCAGGCTTCTCATTGGCCATTGGAGATTTGATTGGCTGTGTCGATTTTTTTAAAAAAAATTATTTAGAATTTTTACAGTACAAAAAATTAAGAAAAGAGGGGAAAAAACACCAAGGTACATATATCATACTTTGGAGTTCACATTAAACATTTTTAGCTAACCATTTGTTAACTCTATGCCATCTTTTTTGAAAAGCTTTTTCATCTTTCCCTGACAATATCATGTTGAGTTTATCCATTTCTACCAATTCATACATTTTAATAACCAATTCTTCTCTAGTAGGTAAGTTCTCAGTTTTCCAACATTTAGTAACAAGTATTCTAGCTGCAGTAAGGATATATGACAGAACACTTGTATCGTTGCGCATCAACCCGTCTGGTATCATATTAAGCAAAAAAATGTCCGGTAATAAATGTAGTTCTATATCCATAATCTCTGATATTAAATGATTGATACCTTTCCAAAATTTGTGTATCTTTTTGCACCGCCACCACATATGAAAAAATGTGCCTATATTGTTTTTACACCTCCAGCAATTCCTCGATACTTCCTTGTAGCATTTGACCATTCTGTCCTGCGACCAGTGCCACCTATAAAACATTTTAAGTATGTTTTCTAGCTGTGTTGATTTTTTTAAGAAGAAGCGATTGGATTTATACCCCGCCCTTCACTACCCAAAGGAGTCTCAGAGTGGCTCACAAACTCCTTCCCCTTCCCCTCCCCACAACAGACACCCTGTGAGGTAGTTGGGGCTGAGAGAGCTCTTTCAAGAACTGCCCTTGAGAGAACAGCTCTGAGAGAACTATGGCTTGCCCAAGGTCATCCAGCCAGGTGCAAGTGGAGGAGTGGGGAATCAAACCCGGTTCTCCCAGATTAGAGTCCACACACTTAACCACTGCACCAAACTGGCTCTTCAAGGGTCTTTGCTGTGTGATTGAAGAGAAACTGCGACAGCCGTTTTGTGGCTGTCCAAAGATGTCTGCAGGTTCAAAAAGGTTGGGGACCCCTGCCCCGTGGTTTCTCATCAGTCCCACCAAACAAGGGGTGAGTAGTTCCTAGCCATCATGTAATAATTACGGAAGCAATGTCTCCTAGACTTTTAGTGCCCATTGAGAAAATGTTCCAAGAGCTAACCCTAGAATCAGCTGATCCTCACTCCCCATTAGCATTCAGTTCTGTTATACGGGAGTCTTTTCTTTTGATGCCACATTGCAGCACCTGCATTTACTGTATCATTTGGCTTGTCTGCTGGCAATTCAGATGAATCCTAGGTGGCTTGTTGCTTGCCAGAGAATCTGGTAGGAGGTATCACATGCTGCCAAAAACTGGAAAAAAGGGGGGGGGGCCTCAATCCAAGATAGGACTGCGAACCAAAAGGGCTAAGCTAAACAATATTTATATAAAAGTACAAATATTTATTCAGGTATACACATGTTAAAATGTATACTGATTAAAAAATTTTTTGTCTACGTTCAGACTTATAAAGACTTATCACATGCTGCAACTTGTGGAGAGATGGAGCAATGCGGCAAAAACCTTGTCCTGGCTTGTATGCGCTGTTTGTCTCTTCATAAATCACAGTGACTTCTATAATGCGTGCTCTCTTCCAGTTTACCGCTGAGTTCCCACTTTTTAAAGAGTCTTTTCCTCTCCCTCCCAGAAATGTTTACAACGGAAGGAAATCCCTCTACCAAAGGGGTTTTTGCCACCATCTTTCTGGAAGTTATGATTTGGCTTCTCCCGGTTGCGTCTTCGCCTAGAAGTTCAAAGAATGGTCTCCCTCGTGAGAAGGAAACCAGTTAAGCCTCCAGAGACTTTTTCGCACTGAGGACGTTCAATCAACAGAGGAACTTTGCTGTTCTCCAAGTTTTATTTTCTGCTGTGCAGGATTCAGATCTTAGTAACACTGCCATAAATTTCTTCATAAAGAATTTTTTTAATGTCTGTTTAATTCTGTCAGCTCTCTGTAACAGGATATGATAGGACACTATATTAATAATTATTGCCAGTTTGGGCCCCCCCAAGCCCATCAGTGGAATGCTTTTCACTGTCTTAGAGGATGTCACAGAGCTTGTGAAATTGCATAAGCTTAGTATTTGCACAAAGAGTGTCCCTATCTTAGGAGCACTGAGAACAGAAACTAAGAAGCCTGGTTCTAAAATATTGTTAATACAATCAAGGAGCACTTTTAATTGCTTAGTTCTTCTGAGGAAGCAGTAGCAATCCGTTGTAAGTTCAGGCAGCAGCAGGTGTTTTAGCTCATGGAGGGGTGTCTCCTTTATTTTTAAGAAGGATAGCCATTGATTTATGCTTTTTTTTACCACCTCTTGTTAAAATGGCCTTTTATTTCCCTGGACGAAACAGTATTTGGTATTCCGGGGATTTACTTGATTTCACAGTTTTTCTATTTAGTTGGCATCCGAGAAGAAGCCGCTGCATTTTGCGTCTGTTTTTTATGAAAACAGAAGATGAAATTGTCTTCCCATTAATGCATTTCAAATACAGGCAACACTGGGGGATTAGATGGTGAGGATGCATATATAAAATCATGCATTAGCACTGCCCAGTAGAGGAAACGCTCCTTTGATTAGTTTTAACTGGATGTCACATGGACTGGATGCCAGGGCAGGCCATTGCCGCCTGGAAGGGAAGGGCGACTGCTTTCTCCTTCACAATACTTGTATCCGTTTGTCGGCAGTCTTGAGCAGGAAACGTCGAATTAAGTTTTTGTATTGCTCTCTTACATTGATGGGTATCGTGAGAATACATGGCCGAGGAAAGCTGTTTGTAAGCTGAAATAAAATTTGAGCTTTATTTTGTGTGAAGAAGCACTTCCTTTTGTCTCTCCTGAATCTGCCAACTAAGCCTGTTTTAAAGAAAAAGGCACAAGCCTACCCTAGTTGATGGAGTCTGAAAGGTAATCTGTGGGAGCCACTTGTCAGTCGCGCTGTGTCAAAATCTCTTGTGCCAGTCTGAAACTACATGAATAATAGCCTGTTCAGTCCTTACCATTGTCCTGGGATGCCCTGTTTGTGGTCTTCTTGCGGAGTCTTCTGACTGGCCACGGTTGACCTACATTGATCTCTGGTCTGAGCCAGCTGGGTGCTTTCTCATTCTCCCAATACTTGATGGTGGAACAGTTACAGGGAGGAGAATACATCTTTTCCTTATTTTGGCCAGCTGGCAGTTCAATGTTTTACACGTTACCTGGATTCTTGCAGCCCAATCCTAAGCTTAAACCCATGTAAATATTTGGCTTTTAAGTGTACATAACTGCATAGAATCGCAGACTCAATCAGATTCTACCCACGCACTGGTAACGGCGCTGGAGTATTTGAAGATCACTGCTTAAATGTATTAAAATGGTGCTGCAGAGTTTTTTGCTGACTTCATGCCAAGCACAATGCAGCTCGGGGAATATTTGTGCATGCAGGTCCTGTTCTGGTTTGAATGCTCTGAGTCATGCTCTTTCCAGATAATTCAGGTTCTGTTGCAGTCTCCCTGATTATGCTGCAGTGCGAGTCACAGATTTCCTTTTAATTTTTTTTTTCATACCTGCAAAAGAAATGAAATAAACTGGAGTGCTTTTGGTAGTAAGAGTATCGGATAGCTCTAGGTTTAATTTCTGAATTTTGCATCCATGCGTATGCTAATTCACCTAAATGTAAAGATGGAATTGTTGTGATCTTAACACAGTAACTGTGGAGAGGAAGTAAGGGGGAGATTAAAGCGTTGGCCAGAATTGTAATTAGCATGCAGTATTGTACTAATTGAGAAATATACAAACATACCCCTTTGGAATGACAGATGCTTTTTGTTCAGCTCATAGGACTAGTTGTGTGCGGTCCTATGCAGTGTTCCCTCTAAGCTGAGTTAGCGTGAGCTAGGTAAAGGTTCCCTTGCTCGAAAGCCAGTTGAATCCGACTCTAGGGTTGCGGTGCTCACCTCCGTTTCAAAGCCGAAGAGCCAGCGCTGTCCGAAGACGTTTCCATGGTCATGTGGCCGGCATGACTAAACACCAAGGCGCACAGAACGCTGTTACCTTCCCACCAAAGTGGTACCTATTTATCTACTTGCAGTTTCTTGCTTTCAAACTGCAAGGTTGGCAGGAGCTGGAACTAGAGATGGGCGCTCACTCCATCATGCGGCACCCGGGTCTCAAACTGCTGAACTACTGACCTTCCACAGCCTGCAATTCAGCGTCTTAACCACTAGCTTTAACTAGCTCACAGTTTTTTAGCCTTTGGCTCACACATTTTTGTCTTCGCTCAGGAAGGATGGCTCCAGAGCAAACTATTGATGCAGTAGCCAAATCGCTCGCTCACAACTTTAATGCCGGTAGCTCACAAAGCAGAATTTTTGCTCACAAGACTGCACAGCTTAGAAGGGAGTATTGGTCCTATGTATACTTGGGAGTAAGCCACATTAAACTTGGTGGGACTTATTTTAAGTCAACACCTATCACGGCAGCCATCCCGCAGTCCTGTGCATATTTTCTTAAGAGCAAATCCCACCAACATCAGTTGGACTTCTGAATAAGTGTGTAGGGGCTCAGGCTATAAATAACTAGTGGGCCGTGCCTTTGCTGATTAGCTTTGTATGGATAAGAGGATTTAAAAAGAACACACTTTGAATTTTTTCCATTTCTAACTGCTGGGTGTGAGTCAGTAGAATATCTCCTAACCTTCTGGGCTTGATCAGTCCTATTCATTATGTGTGTGTGTACACATACGTGCAGATGAAAAGTAAAAGACAAAATTCAAATCAGCTTTGAGATAAAAAGCTGAAGCAGCAAAGCTCCTGGAACAATAAAAGCCTAGTGACAGCAAATGTAGCTTATCACTGTGTCCCTCAATTGAATGTAAAAAGAAACGGCATCCTCAAAATGCTCTGGAAAGAGAACTTCCTTGACTGCTGCTTAAAAACACACAGAGTTGGGGTGAGAACATGCTTTGGAGGACGTTTTGGCACCATTGCAAAGACTACCCTGTATCGTAGGGGTCCCCGTGGGCGCCATGTGATGCCAGTGGGCGCCATGGTGCCCAGTGTAACCTTTCTTGGACACACCCCCCCAAGTGCTTCCAGAAAGTAGGTGTGGCCAGTGAAAGTTTTGCACAGCAAGGCTGCTGATGCCCTCTGCAGATAGTTGTTTTTTTAAAATCTTACTTCGGCAGCAGCTACCACTACAGCACAAAAGACCTTCACTGTGTGCCTGAAGATAAGTGGTGGCAGCCATTTTGCAGCTCACTCTGCCTTCTGCAGAGCCGTTTTGTGGCTGTGCCCCACGTCGGAATTCCAAAGGTGCCTGCAGGCTTCGATAGGCTGGGGATCTTGTATTGTCTCCTCACCTGCTAGTCTGTCAAAGGTGAGAGGGTGCCTGGAGCGGACCTTGCAGGCGGATTTTTATTTTATTTGGAGGTAAGCAGGGGTCATTTCATGCGGGAGCGCACAGGAGCGGAGCTCCGGCAGTAAGGAGCCCAGGGGGTGGGCACATGCAACAAGCCCCGCCCCCTGCTCCCAGCAGCCCTCAGTCCGGCCACGAGGCGCAAGAAGCAGCCAGGTAATTTGCAGCGCCCCCCCCCCCGCTCGCCTTCAGGTGGTACAAGCTCTCCCTCCTCTGTGAAGGCAGATATGCGCGTTCCCCCCCCCCAATAGTTAGCAATCCAAAACAGCCCAGTGGCACCTTTAAGACCAAGTTTTATTCAGGTACAAGCTCTCCCTCCTCTGCGAGGACAGATCTGCATGTCCCCCCCCCAAAAGCTAGCAATCCAAAACAGTCCATTGGAGCCTGAGCGGTGGGTGTTGCCTTCTGACACACTCCCGGTGATTTCAGGGGGTGTGGCATATGCAAATAAGTTATGCTAATGAGCTCCTACACCTCTTTTTCTACGAAATGACCCCTGGAGGTAAGTTAGGGAGTATGTGCATATGGGTGTCAGGCAGCCATGTACCGTTTGATCCTCTGCATGTCTACTCAGTGTTGAAGGAGAAAGGGCGGGACCTGGGTTCAGATCTCTCTGCCGGGACCTGGGTTCAGATCTCTCTGCCTTAAAGCTCCCTGGGAAGCACTGGGCCAGCCTAGCCCATGTAGATGGTGACAGATCCAGGTGGTCAGCCGTGTTGGTCTGAAGTAACAGAAGTAATTTGTTAGCCAAAGTGCCTTATTTTTAATTAATAAACTTGGGGAATTATGAATCTTAAATGGTAATAGGCATAAAATATGGAACCATAACCGGTGCTTACGGGAGTCAGAGTTCCCAGGACGGAGGAATAGACACCGAGGCTAGATCACTAAAGTAATGATTTCTTTACTAAAGGTTTTTCAAGCATACAAACAAAAATCAAGCATTCACAACACGGTACAGGGCTAAGAATACAGATTAGAAAGTACAGAGACGTTTGCATGAGCAGGGAATATCATTGGCTGGGTGATACCTTGACACAGAGAGTACTCCATCTTTCTGTGTTATACCTCTGAGGATGCCAGTCACAGCTACTGGCGAAACATCAGGTCCTACAATGCCAAGACCACGGCCATGCAACCCGGAAAATCTACAGCAGCTAATGGGTGATACTTTACCTGTCCGGCAAGACACTTGGATCATGCAGCGAAAACACAATAAAGGAAAAGGGATTGTGAGTTGACCAGCAACACACATGGACTGATTCCAAATTGGCTGAGAATGGAACCAACAAGGTAGGGTGGGGTCAGGAGAGAGTCCAGTGGCACTTTTAAGACCAACACAGTTTAATTCTGGGTATAAGCTTCTTTTTTTTGTGCATGCACACTTCAGATACATTGAATCTGAACAAAGTGTGGGTCCAGTGGCACCTTTAAGACAAACAAAGCTTGATTCTGGGTATAAGCTTTTGTGTGTAAGCACACTTCTTCAGAATTTCCTCAGCAATATATAGAAAGAGAGCGGATAGGGGGTTTAGTTGCCAGGAAGGGCCAATTAGAGTCAAGAAGACAAAAACAAAATTGGAAATTACCAGTCCATACATATAGGTACAGGGTGAGCAGTACATCATCATACAGCATAATGAAGGTGTTTAACAGGTACAAGGATCAAACAGGAATAATAGGCTTAGTTTATATGGTCACCATTTGTTTGGGTTCAATCCCGGGGCAAAAACAGTGAAGGAAATAAATGTCACAATCATAGATTGGCATATTCTTAATTGTAGGATGCTGAGAGCAGTTAATTCATGGTGGCTGTGTGAGGATAAAAGGAAGGCAGAGAGAACCATTTTGTTTCTCTTCAGCTGCGCGGAGGGCAGTCTTATCAAAGCTAATAGAAGAAGAAGAAAAAGAAGAAGAGATTGGATTTATACCCTGCCCTTCACTACCCAAAGGAGTCTCAGAGCAGCTTACAACCCCCCCCCCCCACAACAGACACCCTGTGGGGTAGGTGGGGCTGAGAGAGCACTGACAGAAACTGCTCTTTTTCAAGGGCAGCTCTTATCAGAACTATGGCTTGCCCAAGGTCATCCAGCCAGGTGCAAGTGGAGGGGAATCAAACCCGGTTCTCCCAGATTAGAGTCCGTGCACTTAACCACTACAGCAAATATAGTTCAATGGGACTTGTTCCCGAGTGTATTTAGGATCTGTGGCACCCTGCATTGGAAATTCAGCTCCATTCGTCCGACCGGACTAGATTAGGCACCAGGGAAAAGTATGGAGAACCAGCAGAAAGAAATCCGCACCTGGAATCCTAAAAAAGGAAAGAGATTCGCGCACGTGATCTCGTACAGGTGCAAAGAAGCAGCCTTTTTTAAAAAAAACCTCCCTTCGCCGTCACTCGGCTCACTCCGGAACCATTCGGCCGCACTCGGCTACTGCTCCCTTTCGGCCTTTCCCGTCTTCTTTCGGAGGGAAGGGAACGCCGCCGCCGGAGCCGACCAAACGGATAGGCTGTGGCTGGGAGAGGCCGCCCCCCCCCCCCCTTCGTTTCGCTTCGGGTTTCTCCGTCTCCGAGCCACCGCCGTTGGGTTCTGCAGCGGTGACGTCACCGCCGCCGCCTTTATAAATAAGGGGCGTTGGCGCGAGCGCTGGGCAGTCGGTGTCTGAAGGGGAGAGGCGCGAAGGTTGTGTGACTGGGATCCGGAAAGGGGCCCTTCGCGACAGACCCGGTGAGGAAAAGATGGGTGGTGGTGGTAGGATGCGGACTGACGGATGGACCAGAAGGGGGGGGGGCTCAATGGTCGGGAGGAGAAAGGGGGGGGGTGGGTCCTTTTAGGCCGCGGCGCAGAGGCAGGGGCGCGAAGGGACCGCATTGTGGTGAGGCGAGCGCGAAGGCGGGGCTTGAGAGCGCCCCCTCGAGGCGGCGGCCTGTAGTGCAGCTTCTGTGCCAGCGCAGGTAGGTGATGGGGACCATCCTGGGCCGGTTGCAGCACTGGATGCAGCGGCTTTTTACAGGCTAGGACGACGCTAAAGCTGTGGATTGATTAGGGTTGACGTCTCTGCAAGCTGTAGATGTGCACAGATTGTTAAAGATTGCTTTGTAGTAGTGGTCGCCATGCAATTATTTATTGCTATCAGTATCCCCCGGCGATAATGTTGTGGCCAACAATTGCGCCTGGATTCTTCCTCCTTCCTAACTGCCATCAATGAGATAAGGGCGGGGATGGTGGGGGGGGGGAATCAGGCTGCCTCCATCACTTATGGACCCAGTGTGCAGCCCTCTTCCCTCCCCCCTTCCAGTTGTTATCCAGGGCAGGCAGCAGCCAGATGGCCTTCCTGCCTACCTGGATCCTGCTGAGCTGAGAAAACGTTCCCCAAGGGTTTTGTAGTATTTTTAAAAAATATTTGTAGTTTTAATGTGCACACTGTTTTACAGGAGACCGGTTAGTAAACCCACAGAAGGCATGGCAGAGATGGAGTAAAGACCGTGCAGTGTGGTTTTCCTTGGAGTAAATATGTGTAAAATTGGGTTGCTTTACACACACTTACTTGGGAGGAAGATCCATTGAACGTGATGGGACCAGTTCCTGATACATAGGATTGGGACTTCAAGCCTGAGTGCACACTTACTTGGGAGTAAGCCCCTTTGAGTAAAGCGGAACTTGCTTCTGAGTAAATGTGCTCATCATCAAAGGAGAGCATCAAATGTCCAAGTGGCCTTTGTCTTAGTTGCTCTTCCGTCCAGACACAAGACTGATGGGTGTGTGGCAACTGGTATGCATTTGTTTAGGTTTACTTTTAAATAGTACAGAGACTGTGTTGATTTTTTTAAAAGCACAAGAGACAGGGAAATCTGTTTTGTTTTTGTCCATGAGGGAGCGGTGGTTGTTATTTGCACGGGCAATTGTTCAAGTAGTGCTTTATTTATTTGCTTCATTTGGACCACACCTTTCTCTTGGGGACTCCAAGCAGCTTACGCCATTGTCCTTTCTCCACCATTTTATTCCCACAACAGCCCCGTGAAGTAGGTGAGGCTGAGAGGGTGTGGCTGGCCCAAGGTCACCCAGCGAGCTTCCATGGCAGAGAGGGGATCAAACCTGGGTCGCCCAGACCCTAACCTGACACTCTTAACCAGTGCTCCCTCTAAGCTGTGGAGTCTTGTGAGCAAAAATTCTACTTGGTGAGCTACTGGCATTAAAGTTGTGAGCAAGTGATTTGGCTACTGCATAAATTAGTTTGCTCTGGAGCCATCCTTCCTGAGCCAAGACAAAAATGTGTGAGCCAGAGGCTAAAAAACTGTGAGGTAGCTCACACTAACTCAGCTTAGAGGGAACTCTGCTCTTAACTGCTATGTAATCCTGGCTGTCCTTTGATGACAAGCAAGGTCCTGTTTAAATTCTGGCCAAATATGACAAAAAGATGTGCACCTTGATCCCGACTGAATCGTCTGGAAGGTCTTGTGCCAGGTGCCTAAAACAATTGCTGCTGAGGGTTTCGGAATGCATTTTCTGACCTTGCTTAGACCAGCCAGCCAGCTGTTCTCCCCTATTCACTGGTACCAAGGTTAATTTTGACTTGCTCAGCCCCCCCCCCCCGAATCTTTGTAAATACCTGTCTTTATTGCCTGTTGTTTGTCCTTGCTGACAAATTTATGGTGAAGCTACAGTACCCTGTGGCAAGATTGCTTTTAAAAATATTATTAAATGCATGGAAGTGCCAGGGGGAGGTTTGCGGGTAGCTATTGTACTATGTTTTCCCATGTTTTTCTTTTTACAAAGGAAGCATTAACATACAGTAACTATTAAGCAGCATAATTTCAGATAGCTAGCGATGTCAGTCTGTTGCAGCGAAATAAAACAGAAGACTTGCGGCACCATAAAGACGTGACAGAATTTATTCTGGTTTAGAACAATGATGCATGTGATGAAGTGAGCTCTGACTCCTGAAAGCTTGTGGTAGAATAAACTGGATTAGTTTATTTTGCTGCATGCATTTGAATATGGTGATTCTAAGCTGTATTAGCAACTGTGAGTACAAAAGAGGGGGTGGCAGTTATTCTCGGAATAGGCTGTGATACGGAGTGCTTGCCCTGTTGCTGCTGTGGCCACCTGCCACTGATAACGCTTGCCAGGCATTCACATGTTCCCTGGCACACTGCTCCATATTTTAAATATATATAAAACACATCTTTCACAGCAGCATCTCCATTCCAAATCCCAGTTCACTAGGCTTGACTGTATAAGAGAATGAGGGTGGAGGAGACCTGGATGGGGGTGGCTGTTGTGGCATTGCTTTCCTGCTTCTGGTGGAACGGTCGTTCCTTCCGCCCTTGGAAGAGATGTTGGAGTCGACATTGTATGGGGGAGGAGGAAGAGAGAAGGGGAGGCTCCGCCCTGCGCAGCAGCTGCAGGAATTTCATTCAGAGCCTTTGGGAGTGATTTCGGTACGCTTGACAAATACACGCTGACAGCCGCCAAGCTCTCTGCTCCTTCAAGAAAAGGGCCGGGGAAGATGGCTCCCCCATCCTGAGGCCGGCCGGGTCCATTCCCACCTGATTGGAAAGGGGGAAACTAGACAGGGAGGAGCCACTGAGTGCTCGAGTGCAAACTTGCATTCTGCAGCAATGGCTTCCCTGAACGTTCACATTCTCAGTCCTGTCCAAGGTCAGGCGATAACAGCATAACACAGGAACACATGTGAGATTTTGCTATAGTTTCTAGGTGAAAGGGTTTCCCAGCTAAACTAGATTAGCTACGCTCAGTAAATCAGGTAACTATAAAATGAGAAGTATAAGCAATTTCTCATCTTAGCAAGAAAGGAGAGGATGTTGCATTTTAAAAATTAAAAACATGGAAGAGCACTAACAGTTCCTAAAAACAGTGAAATCTCTTCCCAGCTGTAGAACTTGGCTATATGTTTTGACAGATCTTTTGGCTCAAAATGCCAGGTTGTTACCTCTTTTCAAAACTTGTATCCCTTTTTCTGGTCCTCAGCCTAGTCATGGATCATTTTCTGTGCGTTGAAAATAGTTATTAAGCCTGATGGTCTCTTTCCAATTGTCAGGTTATATGCAGGATAAAATAGGTTAGAGGTTTATAATTATTTAAATTATATTCATCCTGTTGACAGCCAAAGAATGTTGCTTTACCACTGTAATGACTTAGTAGATTCTGCCTTTGTATTTGATTCGTTTTTATACTTAGTGAAATCTTTGTCACGTGGTGAAGTAATTATTTCATTCTCTGCTGATTTTATTCTTTTAGCCTGGATAACCATTGAGCTGTTTCTAATAGGCTCTGGGTAGTGGGTTTTTTTGGAGGGGTTGGCATGATCATTTGGAGTTACAGATTCAGACAGTTAGGAAATAGTGCTGGGAGACTTCCGATCTCTTAATAACAGGGTATGCAGCACATTTGAGAGGTATATTATTCATAGGTGTGGAGTGAAAGATTCTAGACCGTTCTTGCTTATTCTGAAAATATTATTTGGGGGAAATGTTATATTCGTTTCTTTAATTCTAAATTTTTAGTGAAGGCTAGAAAATCAGAAGTCCTATAAACATTTGCATTGATTTTATAACATAGTAGGGCAGAAATTATCAAATGGCTGGGGGGGGGATTTCTTCAGCATTGGCAAGAAGCCACAAATAAATTCAGCTGCGGAGTGAGAGGGGAACTGGACAGGTGAAGTTATAACAGTGTTTCCCTATCTGTTGCAGTTTAATTGATGATATTGGGGTCCATAACCATGAAACTAATAAAAGTGTGTAACTTGATGATGGCTAAGGATTTCATTTCTTAAGTGAAATTGACCATCTTCAAAAAAGAGTATTGAAATAAGGCTTTGTGTTACTTTGCCCTCTTAAGAGATAGTGTTATGCTGTTTTGGTGTGTGTTGTTGAGGAAGGAGTTTAGTGGCTTTTAAACAGGGACCTTTTTCTCTTCTAACAGTCGTACTGCTCTTTTTGCCTTGTCACTAGTATCTGGAACCTGCTCCACCGTAACAGGGTGGAGCAGACTGCAGATGGTGCAAGAGAGATTGCCAAATGCGGTTCAGTGCCATGCTGCTATTGGTTGGCCAGAGATCAAGCAGCGTGGCATACCCCCCCGCCCGCCTGCCTGTAATAAATAATTTACAACGTATTAAGCCATGTCACGGCAAATATGGATTTCCTTAAGGAAGGAGGCAGATGAGAGAGACATGGTGTTTTTTGACATGAAGCACCTTGGCATGTGGCTGTCAGATGTGGTGAATTCTTATGAGGCCCATATCTGACATCCTCATTATCCTGCTCTCCCAACCACCACCACCACACAGATATTTCCCCACCTTCTGCTTATTTCTAGGTGTGTAACTGCTCGAGAGGGCCTTTTGAAATGTGTAGTGAGGCTGTACTTGGGAGAGTAGCCACGGAGAGCGTGTCCATATGGTAATTTCTCATGATGCTTTTTTATGATGCTGGGCTGCTTCACTTTTGAATGAAGAAGAAGTGTGTGGCAATTTACTTAAATGGCTGTGAAATTCTTTTTGCAAGTGGAGGGGGAGATTGTTGGCCATATCTGCATGTTGTCAAAAGTTGCACTTAATTGTATATGTGCATAGCTCGCAAGACATGATCTCGGTGTACTCCTCCCTTTTAGAGTCTGCATTCCTCCATCATGTTGTCATCATTTCGCAAAGTCAGAGTCCAGGTATTTTACAATATGCATGTAATAATACAGCCATATTTTTCCTGTTTTCCTTTCCCTCCTTTTTCGGTTGTGATAAAATGTGCACTGAATCTCTTTAAAGCTGTGTGTGTGTGTGTGTGTGTGTGTGTGTGTGTGTGTGTGTTATTACCTAAAACAAGAAAGTAACCCAATATCAGACAAATCATTATGGCTTTCTAATGCGGGGGGGGGGTCCTAAATGTCTTGAGTTTCTATCACCTTTTCCCATGCATGATGTGTGATGAGCGTGCTTTTCTGACCGCTTATTAGGACTTTTAAAGCAGCATGACGTTTTTGTACGAGGTGCTGCTGGCGTGGGTTGTCTTGTCAAAGTTGACTGGCTTTTTAGAACTGTGAGCTGATGCAGTCTACCAGCATATTGCCGCGTATTCGCTGCAAGACTCATTTTGATTATAATCTGCCAGAGTGCTTCTGTGCCATTAATTACATTGGACTGCAGTTGCTGCATTATTGTCTCGACTGTACTGGCAGTTATGTTTTCTTCTGTTTTTTTCACGTTAATGAAATTAAGTAGGTCACGGAATACAGAATTTATGTTGAGAGAGAGAATGTAAAACCTGTCTAATTCCAAGATAAAGTAAGCTGCTTTTCAAGTGGTACAAAATGATGATAGCGAGATAAAGCCAAGAAGAATCAGGTTGGGAATTGAGAGATTACTTGCACTGGAAAAAATTTTAATGCCATGCATTCCAAGATAATTGATTTTTCTCATAAACTGTCGTGTAAAATGCAGTCCCTGCTAGTCTGTGCATGGCCATGGTTGGTACGGAATGGAAGAGTATTAAAAAGCTGTACATAATCAGAGGTACTGTCAGATATTTCTATTACTAATTCTCCATGAGTTGCAAAGATTCTCTTTTATCCCACCCTATGCGAAAAAGCACAGCAAAGTCATTATGCAAGCCATCAGATGAAGATGATTGCCATAATCTGGTTGTTGAATTGAGGGTAAGCATTCATGGCGGTTGGTCAGCTCCTCTTGTTGTCATGCTTTCCTGTCTCCAAAGAACTTGAACGCTCCTTCCTCCTGGGTAAATTTGCATTTTGCATCTCTGATTTAGCCTCTGTTTAAAATTGCCAGAATAATGCAGTGTTGAAAGGTCATGTCTGAAAGTAACAAAAGCCAAGTATTCTTCCTGTTTGCGTACTGCAGAAGGTTTCCAAGACAAGCTGACCTTCCTTCCTTCCTTGCTGAGAATATGGACCATCCAAACAGATGTTCCACTCTTTGCTGAGAGATTGTTTTTTGAGTTCTAGGAAGAACTTCTAAAATGCCGTAACCGGAAATTTAAAAAGGGTGTTGCCTCCAGGCAAATCTGGAACTGGAGTTTAGGGGTTTCTGTTTTGGAGTTTAGGGGTTTCTGTTTTGGATTTGCTGCAGTGGTTCCATAGACAGATATTTTTTTTCAAAGCCCTGAAAGTCCCTTAGCCCTATCTCACCCCCTTCCTAAAAAACTGAATTTTGGCTAAAGTTAATAACATATAACCACAAGAATTAATTTTGTTCCTTTGAAGTTAAATTTTAGATAGCTTGCTTTCTTTTTGGAAATCTTGACATGAAACATCTGCATTTCTGGGCTGTTTGGGGGCGCAGGATTTATTGAGGCGTTGTCTGCCTGCATTGTGTTTTATTTTTAAATTTGCAAAATGCTCGTAACAGCAGGTGGCTTTAAAATGCAGGGATACTGGGTTGGGGGGGAAGGGCATAGCTCATCTCCATTTGTTTTTCTTAAACAGTTGGTTTTCTTGTTACGATGGTACATAGTGGTGCACTTAACTTGTCTTCAGTTGCTTACTTGCACAAGTAACCAACCCTGAGAATTTTGCGCTACAGTGTGGGAAGCCAAATGTTAAGCGCCAGAATACATAATGGTAGGAATGAAGAGATTGAACAAGGACCCCTTAACCTATGACACTTTTCCCACACAAAGAAGGGCGAGTATGTACCCAAGCCTGTGCAAAGAGTGTGCATGTGTCTGTTTTGCAGCAGGTGTCTGCTCACTGTCCAGCTTGCATCCAAGTTAAAATGATGCTGCTCCTGCTGCTGCATTCTTCGCCATTGACAGCGTGCAGGTCCCCCCCACACACACAGTGGTTACTCTTGTGTCGGAGAAACCTAAATGTGTCACAGTGGTCTGGCATGAAAAATGTCTTGGCTTGGGCAGCATTTTAGTGCTATTTTAATTCTCTTCTTTGCACCAGCTTTTCCTTTGTGAACCGTGTTGCTGACATCCTGACCGACCATTGCGTTGCAGTGTCTAAAAATACCCACCATTTGACATTCCCAATAAGATGCCGAGCATTCTGTTTTTTAGTTATCGCTTCTGAGGGACTTCGACCAACCGATTAAAAAAACCTCGGTGTAGTCCTTTAATCTCCATTTGTTTTTCCCCACACCTTTGCTGTTGTCCTTCCGAAACCACCAATAGTAGCTGTAAGTTAAAAATGTAAGGGAGTCTGAGACGATTTAATTCCTTTTGCTTTTGCTCACCCCTGATGTTACCCATTGCACAGGATTTTAGCTTTAATTCTGGAGACTCGTGCCACTTCTCCAAGGTGACTCTGGCAGCACGGAAAATCTGTGCTCTTAATTATTTTTCCCTACTCTCTGAGCTGTCCTCAGAGCTCTGTCTCCTCTAAGAAAGCAACCTAATTAATTCAGCTTCCCTCCTCAGCCTGGAACTTTCTGTGTAGCGTTTGACCTTATCAGCACAGTGCAGATTGCGACAGGCGGGGCCGGTCCTCGGCAGCCAGCCGTAATGCATGGAATGCGATGATGTCTTTTTGCACCGGGCCGAGAATGTCTGTTGTTCCGTGTTGAGCTCTGAGCACCTCTGAATTCAAAATGTTTTCCATTGAAATATCACACATCCTTTTTGATTACCCATGCTTGTTCTTGCTGCAGACCAAGGATGACAGTGTCTTAGTGGTCCGGCTGTACAGAAACAGGTTGCCAAATGGCTCTCGCGTCTCTTAGAGGCAGAGGGGCCTCTGCGGTTCCGAGGTGGAAACTTTGGATGCACACTGCGTTGCTTTGCAGCAGCAGCTGGCCGTCTGTGCTTGTAGCTCCCCAGCCAGCGCTGATCGCGTTTTGGCAGAACGCAGGCTTGCTGACCCCCCCCCCCCCCTTTGCAGGAAAGAGCAGTCCATTATTGCTGGACCCAGGCGCTTCTTTTCCGATTGACTTGTTCCATTTACACAGAGAGCCTTTCATTTCTGTCAATTCTGCTGAAAGGGCAAACTGAGTTGCGTGATCAGAATAGCGAGGGGGGGGTTGGTTAACCCAGTGAATCCTAAAATATATTTGGGGAGAAAGTATAATGTGGATTTCTCAAGTAGTTGAACCCTGGGGAATAATGGTGGGTTCTATGGAAACAACACAAAGAGCTGCTCCTGAGGAACAAGCGAAATGTCTCCCTGTGCTATAAAATAGGAGTGAAAACAGGAGGTGGGGGAGCGCAGGCGGGGGCAGGCGCAGGTGGAAGCCGCCTCTTGCCCCACCCTGCCAGCACAGCGTTCAGAAAGACTAGGCTTAGCCCAATTGCCAGCACTTAGCATTTCATTTGTAGTAATTAGTCACTTGCATTTAGCATGTCATCACTGCTTTTGTGGGAGAGTTGTCACTAACTAGACTGGTTTGTCGGCGCAGCTAATCTGGTCTTGAACTGGATGTGTAGATGGACGGCCAGTCTGCCTAAGGGTCAATGCATGAATGTGCGGGTGCTGAAAGCAGGCAGAGGCTTCTTCATGTTCTGGCTTTGTCTGGGAAGTTAACATTCTGAAAACATTCAATTACGATTTAATAAATGAAGCTTCCAGACCCCCCCCCCCCCCCCCCCCCCCGGCACATCCCTTCCTAAAATACCGCAATGCAGTTAGGGCCTCAGAGTTCACAAGAATAACTGCTGCTGCTGAAACGGCTGCCCTTCAGCATAGTATGATTGTGCTGGGAGAACGCTCTGGAATGTATAAATTCACCCCCATGTGTCATGTGTTCCGATCAAGCACCACTGCCCTTTCCAGAGGCCTGGATTGTAACAGGAAAGATAAGGCTGTGTATACCAAATACTTTCCTACCTCTGGGAGATTTAAAAAAAAAATGCATACAGATGTGTTTCCAGGGTGTGTGTTTTTTCCTGGATGGGTAGCATGCAGCTGAGAAGAGATTAAATAACAGCAGCTCATTTTATAATTTCCGAAAGCAACTTCAGTCTTTCTGTTTTTAAAAAAGCCCTACAAAAATACACCAAAAAGTTTATTTGCCAGTACTGACCTCTTATTGGATTTTAAGTGGTCAGTGAAGAGTGTCAGTTGTCATGGCCAAAGGGCCGTTCCACACATGGTGCGACAAGAAACCCAGGTTTGCCACTGAATACACATGGTGAACTGAAGAAACAGCCCTTCCAGGTCCCTGTGAATGTACCTGCTTGTGATTCCAAGCGTTTGCTTGTCTCATTTGCAAAGTTTATTATTACTGTTTATTATTATTGTTGTTGTTGTTATCCATATTTGTTTGAAATGCATCCATTTGACATGACTGAAATGTCTTCCAGATGCAGGTTTTAGAAGTACAGAGTAAGAGATATTTCCTTACTCTGTTGTTTGGATCTGTGCTACTTGAATAGCCACCTCCTCAGACTTCTTTTTGAAAATCAGAGGAATTTGATAAGGCCATCTGTGTTATGGCAAAGGGGGTCTTCAATTTAAAAGGGGAAAAAATACACTGGGAGCATCTCTTTATATCCTAACCTTTGTGACATCTATCTAATTAAGTCAATTTTGCTATGTCTTAATATCGCTGATATAAATGGAATCTATAGGCACAGACATCTATAGTGCTTTGGGAAAGTATAAATAAAATTTCTTCACAGCCTTCTTGGAGCTTGAGGAGGCACCAGTTAATTTATAGAATTTTAGGCATGCAGGATTAGAATTGCAGACAACATGCACAGCTGGCAAAGACTGATTGTGGCTAATAAGAACATGGGGGGGGGAGCTCTGTAGCAACTATAGCATCATACGTTTTGCGGGTGAAGAGATGACATTTGATTTAACTGAAGAATGATGAGAATCTAGAAGACCAAGCTGTAAACATGCTTGTTATGGAAATCCCAGTGATTTCAGTCAAACTGTCTTTCTAACAAGTTTGCCTAGGAGTACAGCCATTGTAATTGTAGAAACTGTGTGTGCTTGACTCTTTTATGGTATAATTTTAAACAAATGAAAAACTTTCTGGTGTCTCACTGTTTCAGTCAAAAGGGTGGGGCAGTCTTTCTGTGCTGTTGTTTTAAAATCTCCGTTAGTGACAATTTGCAGGCCTCTTGCAGTCATGTGAGCCTGTTGGCTCCCACAGGACTGCAGCAGCATAAGCCGGTCTGAATGGCTCTCAGTTTCCTCTGCTGTCTACTTCTGCACTGTAGTGCCTTTGTTTTTAACCTGCATCCAAACTTGTAAGCCGCAACTTACTATTTCCTTGTGTTTTGGCATTTTTGTGTAAGGGATGTGTGTCCTTTCCTCACTTGCATTTCCTTTCTGCTAGTGTTGGCTGCGTCTGATGTCAAAAGCACTAATTAACACCTCTTGAATTTTAGAAAATGGATCCTACTGGAGTAAAAGTGCTGGAAACAGCAGAGGACATTCAGGAGAGGCGTCAGCAGGTCCTGGACCGCTACCACAGGTTCAAGGAGCTGTCTACCTTGAGGCGCCAAAAGCTGGAAGATTCCTACAGGTTCCAGTTTTTCCAGCGTGATGCAGATGAGCTGGAAAAATGGATCCAGGAGAAGCTCCAGATCGCATCGGATGAAAATTACAAAGACCCAACCAACCTGCAGGTAGGGGCCACCTTCAGATTGCGCGTGCTGGGCATGGTGCTCTTGGAAGAGCTCAAATATCTTGGAGGAAATAACATAGGTGATGTGCATGGCTGACATTTGACACTTCGTCCTTTCAGGGGAAACTGCAGAAACACCAGGCCTTTGAAGCTGAAGTGCAGGCCAATGCCGGAGCCATTGTTAAATTGGATGAGACTGGTAACCTGATGATTAACGAAGGGCATTTTTCTTCTGAAACTATACGAGTGAGTGTTAAAGAACTTTACTTCTTGCAGGATTTGACATGCCCCTTCTAGAACAGGCTGCTGGTTAGTAGGTCACCTACAATGGCATTGCAGTAGAGGAGCAGCATTAAGTGCTGTGTCATGGTCCTCACAGTAGCAACGCTGATCCAGATCCCCAGCTGGTTTGTCTTGTAACGTTTTGAAGCAAGAGGCGGCAACTGAGCAGTGTCGTCGTGAATGGTGTGGCGGAGGGGGAACCTCCAGACACAATGCTGGGGACGATTTCACTTCCAGGTCAGGTCTCTTTTAGCAAATGGCTTGAAAACCACTGATCACTGAGCTGAGGCTAGAAATTCCTCTTTGCCCCAGTTGAAGAGATTGTATGAGCATCCTTTCAGCATCTGTGCCCTTGGACAACAAGGACTTAAAGAGGGCTTTTCTCAGTAACTCTTCCCCATTACATGGATTCCACCTCCCCACGCCCAGACTTGTCAAAAGTGTGAGTTTGAGCACCTTACAGAATAAAAACCTTAGGTATTAAATTTTCAGTCAAGATTTGAGTTTCTGGAGTTAAATAAATAGGGGGCTATTGTCCTTTCTTACCATTTCTGTTTCTTAACAGTACTTCATTTAACAGGTAATTTAGGTGTCTAGCTGTTCTTGGGGGACTGGTTTTAAAAGTTAGCTCGCGAGGTTTGTGCTCTGTTGCTAAAGAGCGTTGAATGCTAGAATTGACACAGAACTTCAGGATTAACACTGGATGCGTTAACTTGTGTGCTTCCAGCCTGCTATTATATGACTGTTGTTCATTATCAAATGAGATCTTTAGCTAGCTCCTTTCCCTTCAGAACAGCAGATCACTCAACAAATAAGGCTTAGGACTATCGCATTTGCAAAAACATCTTTTAATTCAAGTATGTTTTATTTTTATATATATGGCAGAACAGCCACTCATCCTTGTTGCCAGGCAGGGTTTAGGAAAGTGCTAAAAGGTTGTTGCGATGGTCTTGTCTTTATAGAGGGGGGGAGAAAAGGCTTTGTTTTTCAGAGGGGAGCAATCTAAAGCTGCAGTTCAGAAACAGCTCGCATTAGAGAAGGCCTTAGTGATGCTCCCACGGGTGGCAAGCCTGCAGGGCCACTCCCTAAATAAACAGCTTTGTGGAATGCAGCCTGGTGTTTTTTTCCTTAAAATGTGCTAACTTGAGACTCTGCTCCTGGATATTGGCTCTGGAATGTGTTGTTTGCAATGTTAACCCGTGTGTCAATGGTTCAGTCTTTCACGCCATACAGGACCGCACAGCGTCCAATAGTAACTACTATCCAAGTTGGGTCACACATACGAGTAGGTGGATTATCCGGCTGTGTGGGTGCTGCTTTTTTCTTCTGTTTCTTTGAATGCCTCTGTCTCTCCTCTCCCCCTGATTTGATGCTTTACAGCTTGAGAGTGGAGCTGGATGTTGTAAGAAGCAACACAGGGCGTCCCGATGGCGCTTTCCCCCTCCGTGATGTGTACTAGAATGTCCTGATGTCCCGTTGCTGTCTTGCGCATTTCCCAACTCCTTCTCGGTGCTTCCGGTGGGTG